TCCTGCAAAATAATATTCTTCTTGCGGAATAGCGCTTTAATTATGTTATTACAGAATAAGACGTAATTATATTTAATGCAGTAAATATTTACAAGTTTCCTTTGTAGTAATCAGGTTTCCTTCTGTTATCTTTCCACCGAAATAAATTTCAAAGAAGATGGATTTTCTTTTAACTGTCTTCTGCATGAATTTTTAAACTGGTTCCTTCTAACGAATTTTATTATGATTTCCTTTTAGAAAACCGAAAAATGCCCTCTGGATGAATAAAAACATCGAGTCGAAAGAGAATATTCGATTTACTTCCAGTACGTTTCTTAAATAAAGTCAAAATTGTTGAAAACATTGCTTTGCTTTCATGTAGTTTTTTTTATTGTATGATTTTCCGTAAAAAACAGAAATATATTCCTCCAGTTGTGAGTAAGCTTGGTCATTTCGCATCTGATCACGGTAATAAAATACAACTTTTTTCACTTTGTCGTAAGAAATAACATTGGCTGGTGTTGGTATTGCGAAACATCATAAATAATTTCTAAATCCCTTTCTGTCTACCAATAACATTCGGAACGCCCAGGGAACAGGTTTTCTTTCAACGCGTTCTTCTCGGGTGGCGAACTTTCCGAGTTTTCTAATGTTATTTATGAGATTGTCCGGACGAATAAGTGCAATTTTATTAAGAGCTCCCTGGAAATGTGTTTACCGACACCGAACTGGTCGCATTAAACTCTGTGAAGGATTTATTCTCTAAAAACTCTAAGTGGAAGATTAGCCGAAATCAAGCGATTTCGGATCGAATCCGAGCCACATTGAAATTCGAACAAGCGGTTTTTTTGTATTAATCGGAAATATCCGCACTTTCATTATTTTTTCTATTGACGTTTCATTTACGCAAAATTTTCTACTGCGGTTGCTATATCCCGTACTGATCAAAAATCCGATTTAATTGGGTTAACTATCATGACGGCCGAGTGATTTAAAGCAAACAACCAACCTCAGGATTAATGCGGTTTAGTAGTAGAACATATAACTTGATAAATTCAGAATTGAGGCAGATTATACAGCGTAACAGAATAATGAATAGTATATTTACTAATTATTAAGTAAGTGTTCAGGGGTGAAATTAGAAATCAGGAGTTGCCTTCGTTAGATAAATTAGTGTTTCAGATGAAATTAAAAATATAGGACGCTTTACATCTCTAAAATCTTCTCATCCTGCAAAATTGTATAGGATATTCCATTACAAAATATATAATTTGGTATGATGAAAATGTCTAAAATATCAAATTTCTCTTTACTATGTCCCATGTTATTAAAGAAATACGGACTAAAGCTGAACCCTGTTCGCCGTATAAAATATTATGTATGCTTAGCGAAATACCATAATGATTAAACCCACTAAATTAAAATTTACTTATTTTAAAGTAATATCAAAGAAGAAAACCGCCGAAATCCCGAGACGTAAATACAAAAAAGGTCGGGCTATCATGCCGAAACCTCTTATATTATACAAAACTCAAAGGCAGAGTGTGTTTAGTCTCGAGATATAAATTGCCGAGAAAAACCGCTTGTGGTTGCCTCGCAATTGTTTCAGAACGTGCCGTGTCCTTATTGCCGTTTTAATTGTTTTACGTTGCCCTGGGATATTTTCCTCTCAAAGGGAATCCTTCGGATAAAAAAATGACAACGCGATTTTTCGAATTATTCGTACCATCCAGAACGTTGCGGATAAATTGCCACCGCTATTTCGAAATGAAAACTGTTTCGGGAATGTTTGCCATTTTTATCTTAGAAGCGCGCTTATATCGATTTCGTTTGACAAAAAAGGGCATAACCATCAGTTTAATTCGAACGCGGGACGGAGCGAATAGAGCAGATGTGCCATGCGAAATAATGCAATTACAGATCACGTAGACTCGTTTCATCAAAGGACGTAAAAATGCAAAATGATCCATTTTTTCCTTTTCATTTGGGATTTTGTCGTTACAAAATTCACCACCTAGGGACAAGGATTAACATGGATTTTTGTTTCAAATTTTTCGTTAGTAAAAAAATTCGGTATCTTGTTTTCATCACGACTAAACAGAAGAATGCAGACTTAATTAGGAGCACACCTTTTTTTATTAGCATCCAAAAAATTCCTAGCGAAGAACGGAATTCTATATAGGCCAGGCATCAAAAAATGTCCTGGTAAAGCGAACAATTTCGTTATAAATGAAGGTGTAAGTATAGGGAACTTTGTTTGCAGGCACCCCTATAAAATTGTTCATTAGTATAAAAGCTGACAAGGTCCTATAAACGGTAAACTTTCTTCCTTATTTTACTTTTATTCGTATTACGTGAGCTTTGAAATCGCTGCAATTTTACTACAGACGTGAGGTGAAAGTTCGTACGAGGTTTATTCAATAACTGCTACTCAAAGGATCTTATACAGCCGTAAGGTATCACAAAGTACCCGTATAATTGAATTTTTCGTCCTAAAATCTCGTAATTATTGTTTGAAATTAGCAAATCCGATCTTATTCATCCGAATAATTACGCTCAATTACAGAAATAAGCGGAAATACTTCTCAAAGGTAATTACTTGTATTATTCCAGTCAATGATAATAGTTAACGAAGACCTTTTAATGCTCCTTTCAACATAAAATGAGCCTCTGAATAGAGGAGATTACTAAATTAGTAATAGGAATATTTACACTGCGCACAATACTTTAAAATCTGCAGCTATCGAACAGTAAATATCGATTTTATTCAAGAATTTTACACTAATATTTACGAAAACTCGTTATAATAAAACAAATATTATCAATAAACTGTCGGGGAAGCCAGAAGTGCCAGAAAGAATCGGTTTCGTCCTGGCAAAGTGCTTTAAAATTAATTAAATCTTAGGTGGCTTACTTCGTTCATGTCTACTCATCTTACCCTAATTCAATTGCCAACACTACCATGCGAAAATTCCCGCAATTTCATTAGGTACACTATTCCGATTCCAGCGAAGGTTCCAAATTTGTGTCAACCTTTCAACTGTAATGACATTATCCCCCGATGAAATTGCGGTTTCTTTGTTGAAATGAGATTCTTCCCAATACAAGTTTAGTTCGAGTCGATTATTGGTGTTCCGATCAAAAGCATAAGTGTTATATTCGTAAACTTACTTCCAAGTTGGGAAAACTCGAGCCCAGTTTATTTCTTCAGTTTGGGTATGGGGAAATCGAATAGTTTTACGGTTGGCGGGCCACGGAAACCCTATAGAATATTAGAGCACGAATGGAATTGGTAACGTTATTGAATAACTTCATTTAAAAATTAAGGAAGAACGCTGGAAATGTCGAATTAAAATCACAAAATATACAATAACCTAAATAGGGTATGAAATGCGAAAGGGAAATATTTTCTACAATACGGATTATCCCCGTATCGAACCGAACAATTCGGAGATTTCCGTACGTTTTGCGGGCTTACGATTGCGGATTAAAATTTATAATGGCTAGAGTAATTCATTCTGCTTTAAAATTATTTCAGTGTTACGGCTGTTTTTGTTTTCGAAACACAATTGAATATACAAACTGCTTTAATTTGTATAGGGGAACCAAATGAATACTTTGTCTGTTTAAAAACCCTATTCCCGGTTTTACCAGCGACAAATAAATCTATAAATACTTATTCGATGAATAACTTTTAAACTCCAGTTAAATATTTTGACGTTTCACCAAAACTTTTAATCTTTAGTTAAGAATTTAACAGTTTAAGCAAATATTTCTGATAAACCAACCTTTAGTAATCAAATCTTTCCAAAAATAAAAGATTTAAAACTAAATTTTCAGATTATTGTTTGGTTTTTGTAATTGTGACGTGTGATTTTGAAATGGATCGAAAAGGGAAAGTAGCAAAAATTAATTGGAGGATAAGAAGGAAAATTTAATAACGATCCTTCTTTCCATAAAATAATTCGAGCTCGTCTGTAATGAAAATCTTCATCAGATGATGTTGCAGATGCAGATGGTGATGAAGATGATGCTAAAAATCTAATGGATAAATAATTTTGAAATATAACTTAAAAAGAACATATCATTCCTGTTACCCATTATTCTCATCAAACAAACTAAAAATACATGCAAAATACAACCAATAAATAAAAATAAAAATTCAGAAGTTTTTGGTGGAACAAAATTGTGTATTTTTATTGGGACAGTTAAATTTATTCATGGAATAAGGAATTATTTTTCATTGGTGAAACCGGGCATTAGAAAATCAATAATTCACTCAATATATCTTAGTAGATAGTACCTAGTATAAACAATTAATCTGCTTATCGAAACAAATTACCCGTTAAAATTCCAATTTCAAAGTTTACAGCGAATTTACAGTCTTTTGCAAACTCAGGTAAGTAAATCATAAAGGAAAACGTGTTGATTGATTATTTTTTGACGTCTTTGTATTAGGCTTCTTCAGGTAAACTTGCTAATATCGCGACGAACAGAGCACTCAGGCTAATTGGGGAATGTCTTGCCGTTTGCCCTGAAATATAAATTCGTTATGGAAGCAAGATTAATGTTTGCTCTCGCCTAATTGAATCACTAATGGTGTCAATCCATTTTCTTTCATGTTTCTTTCATGTTTCTTTAATTTTGGAGCAACCTAAAATAATTCACTGCGTGAGGATGCGCCTAAAGAGATACTAAGCACCGCCTTCGATACAATGAATAGGCAGTCATTTGTATTGCGGTTTTAACACGGGGTCTATTCAAGCGCGATGATTTCAGATATTATGTGAGATAATTAAATAAATTTCTAAGAAGTACCTTCAATAGAAAGAACCGACTAATGGGTAACGAAAAAAGAATCACATCAGCAATTTTTGAGCTTCTAATCCCGTGATTCATTAAGGCCTTTTGGTGAAATAACGAGCGAAATTCTCGCAATAATTGCCATATTAATTTAATAATATACTAGTACATTCCATGTTGAGTAAAAATCGTTCTCGTATACTAAAATTTTTACTTACCTATAGGTAATAAAAGCAAAAACCAGCGCCACCAACGAAATACTGCTGCCTAGGACGACCAGCAGAGAGAGGATGCTTTCCTCGGTTAGAGGCGGCTCTAATCCGGCTTTGCTCAAATTGGGGAAGCCGTGGATGCGGGCCGTGTACAGCGTGTCCATTTAGTAGGTTTTCTTTTTATTCCGTTCCGACGAGACTGATTCTAAATAAAAAATAATATTGGTTGAATATTTCGTGGAGAGTGCATCGGAAAATAAAAAAAAAACATTTACGTATTCGGAAAGTTCATGTCAGCGGTTCGGTGGAACATAACACATTAGGGTAATTAAATCCTGCAGGATTTAGCAGGAAAATGATGAGTCTTCTCGGTTAAATTCGTTTTACAATAAGAATTTTCAATAAAAAAACCGTTTCGTTGAAACTCCCGTCGTTATTATCGAAAATATAATTTCTGAAGGAATAAATTTTCTTTAATCCGCCTTTTGGCCGGAAAGAAAGAGACGGCGAAGTCGAAATCTAGTCAACTGTGTATAAAATCTTCATTTGCCCCGATTTATCGGCAGAAAATAATTTAAAGACAAAAGAAATTAAAGCGCTAGTCTAATTGTTAATTTGAAGTGAAAACGAACGAAATTTCCTCGTGTAATAGTATAATTTTCAGTTTGATTCCAATATAATAAACTTTTAATGATACTAAATTATAATGAATACGTTAAATGCATTAAATATGTTAATTAGTTTTAAAACATAAAAAAACTAATTTTAAATTTGGACATAAAATAAATTTAACTCGTTTTGTTTAATAGAATTATTAGGCTCGATAATTGACATCCAATCAAATTTCCATTGTAATAATCGCAGTTTTCCAATTGATGGGTCGTGCAGAAAATTATAATTCCCAAAAACGGGAAATCGTTTTTGTATATTGTTTCCGGCTTAGCATTACCCGAGATGAGAGATTAAATCCAATTTGATTCATCGAATATCTGCAGTACTGCGTTTGCAATTTTCATCGTTGAATGCAAATTAAAATTAATGCGAATTTCAAACCGAACTCAATTCGCAATTGTCCCAATTTTGATATGCAATAATGAATAGCTCTTTATCAAAATCGAAGTTAAGACAATTATTGCTTGCATTGAATTTATGTAGGTAACAGATAATTTTCAATAGAGTATAATTATTTACTGGTTTTGTATTCGATACATTTTAGTACTTAAGCAAATAGGTAACTCTAAAATATAGTTATCTATTAATATCGCATTTATCAGCCTGAATGAAGCATGAATTCAGCATGAATTCAAAAAAATTGAATACAACCATTGAAAACAACCTCAAACATTGAAAACAACCAACTTTCCTTTAAATCCACACAGATTGAGCAAACTCCACATTTTCAGAGGGCATTTATTTTTCCCATTCAAATTGTTTTTAATCTATTTTTAGTGTTACTAGCATTTCGCAATTCGCTTAACAAAGCTTGCATCTGTCCACTGACCGAGCGTACGTTTTATTCTTCAAAGGATCGCTAAAACTAAGCAATGAACTACCCGAAATGGCAAATTTGCGTGGATAATGCGCCATATTAAAGCCTTTGGGATGGAAAACAGTCCATAATCAGGGTTTGATGTAGAAATCCTCCTTTCCTTTTAGAGGAAGTTAAAGTTTATGTCAGAAATTGTGAAATGTAGTAATCTTGTTGTTCGAGCACCAATGATTTTTGAATGTTTTTAAATTAAATATACCTTATTCGAATTTAAATTAGATACGTAGGTCAAATTAGGGAACAGGGTGAAAATTGGGATTCATAATTTCGTCTATGCTCTTAAATTTTTCAATCAGTTTTCGTTTTAATAAAATATACATTGGTATAATTACAAAAATTAGCATGGTATACTTTTATTGAACTGAAATTCGGTAGAAACTACACAACATATAAATTTGCTTTAAAATAGTATCTTTCTCTATATTTTTCCGTTCTTATCAAAAATGCTTTTTAAAACTTCAAATAATCTCTAACTCTAATAAATATTTTAAAAAATTCTATACAAACCTAAAATTCAGCAGGAAGTGATGCAATTCCTGGACTGCCAATCGGTCATGTAGGAACGTACAGCGAAATTGGCGTGAAACAAATAACACGTGGTCGATGTTTTAGCGCGCTTTGCTGTTCGCCAGTGACGCCAAGCCGTCTGATAGGACGTCGCGACGCTACTACCGTAACATCCTCTTGGAAGGTAGCATGAACCATCGCTGGCGACGCATGGGCATCATTGTCTTCGGAATCGCACGTAACAGGGTAAGAAATGGGACGAAGCAGTATCTTCAGAAGGTAAATATAGGGACTTAGAGATAAGCATTAGTTGGCTATTTAATCAAGAAAAAAAAGGTGTGGAAAAAGCGTTGATAAATACTAATCCCGGGGGAAATAGCACCTCGAGAAAAGGTAGGACTTATTGGTAATTACACTGTAGATTCTTTTTGCTGAAAGACCTAATGCTTGTTAAGGGTATAAAAAGTGTTTTAACCTTTGGAGCAAAAAAAGTCGTAAAAATAGTGCGGGTAACTCGTATGAACAAAAAAATGCTTTGTAGTAAATAGCAGTTTTATCGATCACATTCTAAAGGGAGACACCCTTATTTATAGATATCTACCAACAATTAGAAATTTTATAATCAATCTCAATATATCATAAATACAGATTATCGGTGGAATGTAGGTATCCCTATCCCATAAATTTTCAATACTAAGTAATAAAACGCCGAGGCTCATTTGTTCTGGGCGATAAAATTTAAACTCGGCTCAAAAGGATAATAAATTTCAAAACAAAAATTTCAACACTCGAGTACAAAGTAGCGGAACAGATACAAAAAGGGATACGCAGTCATAAAGCTTACCTAAATTTATCGATATCCCTTGTAGCCCTAATTTATCAAATTCGCATCAAAGGTTATCTTTATCGACTTCTGGATATCCTTTGAGATACGTATAATGCTATATTTTTTACTATAATGTAACGGATTTAGGTATCCCAAATAAGCATAGATAATACTCTTTAGATAGACTCAATGTTAATACCTCAATGTTGTTACTTTGAAGGTATTTTTCTTGGCTTTTTTATTGCATACTGTGATGTATGTATTACGAGTATATTTTGAAGGTATATCCACTTAGTGATAATCTAAATTTTTATAGAACATTTTGTACATTTTCACTCAAATTCGAGCAACATATGCTAAAAAATAAAACTGAATTTGTTTAAAAAACAAATAATTTATTATAGATGTAAATACAAACATAAATACAATATTTGTAACTGACTAGATTCAAACAACTGCACTTACAGAAATGTAACTCAAATATTGACTGAGGAAAACCCATGTATATCCACCACCTACTTACATACAGGGTGGCCCTTTGAAATTGAAACATATGTTTTCGGGTAGAAAAGTGATTTTTGGAAATCTGTAATTTTTATATCGAGGGAGACATTTATTTGACGTGTTTTGACGGTTTTTTTGAAAAAACCATCATTAAATTTTTTATCCCTTTGTCCAGCAACGTCAACCCTAAAAATTGATAAGTGCAAATTTGTACGCGGTATTGTATATGGGTGCAACAAAGACAACTTCCATTCGTCTCATATAAAGGAAACAGAAATAGAGATATTGTGGTAATTGCAACTTCATTACTCTAACCACTGTTGTATTAATAATCTTTCTTTGTTGAACTAAGAGAATTGACCATATTGCAAACCATATTGCACTTATCTCAGTATAACGATCCTATAGTCCAGGTGTAAAATCAACTTGGAAATTTCAATAAAAAGAGCGAAAATTGTAAAATTTTCAGTAGAAAACTACTAACTTTTAAGGCACCATTATACAGAGTGTACGAATTGATCCGCTGCAAGCATATAATGTGAATTATGAGATAGCTAATTGAACTTTTACTATGTAAGGAATAAAGAGAGCATACGAAATAGTCACGCCCGCTATCCCCGCTAGTGGACGAAGCGAAGCGAATTGACGAATTCTAATATCGGCCGGCAACCGATAAACAAGTTTCTGTTCTTTACTATCTTATAGTATTGATTGAGATTCTAATTCTAATGCTTGCAGCGGAATAATTCGGACATACGGTATAGAGTCACGCTTGTGACTTTATATACTTTTCTTGACTAGAATTAATAATTTAACCTATTCTAAGTGCAATGACTAAAAATATATTCATTCAAATTCCGGAATATCGTCAAAAGAATATCCCGGCACCTTCTTATAAGCGTAATATGCAATTCGAACATGATATGCTCCAGGGATAAACATTAGTGCTCCCAATATAATCATTGGCCACATTCTATTAGCATACTGAACCACAATGTGACCAGATGCTACCATGCAACCAAAAACTAATAGACTTGTTCCCACTACTAGTAACAATGTCGCTAAAATAATCGCTCTCCAGGGCACTTGTTGGGCAGGAACCAAAAACTGAGCATCGGTGAAACCTTGGTCGCTGGTAGGCAATTTTGAATAATTTATATCATTTTTTATTCCCCTTCGTCTCGACATGGATAGCTCATCGAGGTAATCTGCAATCGAAATATCTAACATACAAAACCGTTATTTATCTTATTACATACAAACATAATATATAACAAGTCTTGTTTTAATAGCAATGCAAAGTAACTTGTGTTTTTTATAAGTAGTATGTTATTGTAATATTTATACGCTACTCAAAAATATTTACAAGGATTAACATACCAACTGCATCCATGCTGTTAGGTATATCTGCATAAATTGATAAAATCCTAATTGTGCTCTTAATTTAGTTTGAAATGAATTCTATATTCATACAAACCCGATCACTATATTGTCACCTTTGTAATTGTAAGGCCTTCCTCATTAATTAGGCATAAAAATATAATCTCTTGTAAATAAATGGAAACTGATATGATTACAGGTTTGCGATAAGTAAGTGCGTAATAAGTGTGAATCGAATTTTATGTAAATGGGACAGCTACTTTAATCTTGAATATCGCATGAGTATAAATAAACAAAGTGCTGTCAATAGCTAAAGATTACTTTCGTTCATATTTACCTGAAATTGAATAAAGACTCATTATATTTTTTGTCAAGAATTTATTATAATAATTGAATTATTTTACCATTCAAAACCATCGTTTGCCTGACAGACAGAATTTTGACGACCTGCGACATGTGTCATCCTCATGTCAATGTCAACTATCGTAGCCAAATAACATAGAAGTAGACCATTAGTAACTACTTATCTTGTAAGGTAAAGGTCGTTGCAAACGTCAAAAGTCATATCAAACCGTATCATCTAACCTCAATTTAAAAGTTTCAGTTTGTTTTGTTTATGTTCTTTAATTAAGTCATTTTAAATAGTAGAATCTGAGTATTTACAAACGAAACTCGATTAAAAATGGGCGCACCTATTGAAGTTAAGTTAGATTGCATATCTATGAAAAAAGATTTATTACGAGGCATTTACAATTGTTCTCAAAGAGGTTTAAACCAATCGGTAAAGTGGCTGTCGGAGATTAATTTTTCCTTAAAAAATATAAATTTGCCCCCCGAAGACAAGCTAATTAAGAACGATGATTTGGAAGAAGAAATGGATGATTATTTTTTAGCTAAATCTTATTTCGACCTAAAGGAGTATGACAGATGTTCGCATTTTTTAAAGGATTGCGTTAAAGCGAAATCTAAGTTTTTGTATTATTACTCAAAGTATTTATCTATCGAAAAGAAAAAACTAGAAGATTACATAATACATACGAATTCAGTGCAGAACTCTGTTAAAAACGAATCCCTTATAGATTTATGTACAACGTTAAAGATCGAGCGTTTTGAAAACAAGTTGGACGGTTATTGTTTATATTTATACGGAGTGATTCTGAAGAAATTGGATATAATTCCACTCGCAATAGAAGTGTTTATTGAAGCTGTAAATGCAGAACCCATATTGTGGAGTGCCTGGTTCGAATTGGGAAAAATAATTCCGGATAGTAACACAATTTATTCCTCTGTGTTGCCAGACCACTGGATGAAGTATTTCTTCCTGGCTCATACTTATTTAGAACAACTTAACAACGATCAGTCTCTAATGCTTTACAAAACTTTGTACAATTTAGGCTTTCAAAATTGTACTTACGTTCTGTCTCAAATTGCGTTAGGTCATCATAACTGCAGAAGTAAGTAGACATTTTATGCTTAATTTTTTTACAAATTTATTAGAACATAACGGAATTCAACAAATTAAAGTTTTCACAAATACAACTATGATTAACTAAAATTTTGCTTGAGTTGTAGTTTGATAGTAGGTAACAGGTTTTTGCTTATCAAATTCAATTTTTTCCAAGTTCTTTACTTCTGCATACAGTAAACGTCCAAAGTAACCAAAATATTGTGAATAAAAAACTCCTCCATCATTTGTATTTTTTGTCTTAAGGAGGATAGGTGCAACAATGTTCAAGGCAACATCTCTGACATGTTTGGCTTCTAATATCATTTGATCAGTCACTTCTTCAATGTAAAAGTTGTAAGTTTGCTTTTCCAGAATGATAAAGAGTAGCTTTCCAACACCAAAGAGGTGGGGAAATAGGAATGTTTTGACCACTTCTTCTCCTAAACTTCCCAAGCCTTTTATTGCTCCATAAATAGTCGTTAATGGATACATAGTGTAGGATTTCAAAGGTTTAACGTAAATATTAATCACCCTTTGAGTTATGTTATTTATATCATTATTATATTTCTTACAAATTGTTGATACCACGAAAACTGAAAAATCTCTAAGTGTCCAATGATTATCATAGTAGCATTTACTAATTCTTCTAGAAAGTGTACATGAGAGAACTGCTGGAATCAGATTATGTAAATGCTCAACAATATTTACGCATTGATTATTTAACAAACTTTTTACCATTCGAACAGAATAAATTAATAAGGTTAAATCGGGATGCACTATGTTAACATGAATTGTTTGCTTAATGAAAATACTAAGATAAGGCAATAGTGATTTGATATTGCAATCTAGCGCAAGTAATTTGAGATTTTCGTTCCTTACTTGTTCGTTATATCCAAATATGCCTTCAGTTAGTGTTAAATAAAACGATTGTTCTTCCACCGAGAGTAAATGATTGTCTGGAAGTACCTTTATGAGAATTGTATCTACCTTTGGTACAAATGTTTTTAACATGTTAATTGTATCTTTTTCTTTGCTTGAATTTTCAATCGGCAAAGGAAGTTTGTTAAAAATATTTGATTCTTTTTTATCATCTTTAGAAGAGCTGCTCATTTTTAACAATGTCAAATTATAAAGTGACAATTTGTGTCTACTTCAAAATATCTACCACAAAATCGAATTTGCTTTGAATTGTAGCAAAAATCATACAACATACCTAATATTGTTTTTGTTTTAGATTTAAACAATGCAATTGAAGTATTCCAACAAATTCTCAAACTGGATCCTTACAGATTGGACAATTTAGATACATACTCGAATCTTTTGTATGTTCTTGAAATGAAAAATGAACTAGCTGATCTAGCTCACAAAGTTGTAAATATTGATAAATATCGTGTGGAAACCTGTTGCGTAATCGGTAAGTATATTTTACTTTCCTTATATTTTTTCTAATTCTATCTATTTCATTGCACAAACTAATTATCCGACTTTCAGGTAATTATTATAGTTTGCGTTCAGATCATGCAAAAGCTGTTTTGTATTTCCAAAAAGCTTTGAAATTAAATCCCCAATTTCTGTCTGCTTGGACTCTAATGGGTCATGAATTTATGGAAATGAAAAATACTAATGCTGCTATACAAAGTTATCGGCATGCTATCGGTAAGTTACATTAATTCATAACAAGATTTATGGTAGTTCATTTAGCACAAACGAAATCTATGAAAAGGCCAAAATAATAATACTCTAATTATTTTATTCAATTTTATTTTTAGAAATCAATGCTAGAGATTATAGGGCATGGTACGGTTTGGGTCAAACATACGAAATTTTAAAAATGCCCAATTACTGCCTATACTATTACAAGCGAGCTCAGCAACTAAAACCAAACGATAGTAGAATGGTAATAGCATTAGGAGATGCTTATGAAAAACTAGACAAGACTGAGAATGCGTTAAAATGCTACTATAAAGCCTGTAATTTAGGCGACGTTGAAGGAATTGCAATCTTGAAACTAGCTAAGTAATAACGCCTCTACTTATTGACTTGAATGTATATTTCACATCACTATTTGTTTTAGATTATATGACAAACTTGGCGAAACAGAAAACGCTGCGGCTGCTTTCACTGAATTTTGTCTTCGAGAAGACGACAGAGAGATGAAATGCGTAGAAGAACAAGTGGAATTTTACAATGCTTTACAGTACTTGGCTAACTATCATCTAAAGAAAGGAGATCTTGACGATGCGTACACATATGCATATAAATGTATGGAGTGTGAAGAGGTATCTACAACACGTTTGATTTAAATATTGAAACTTAAAAGTATTGTTGATATTACAGACGAAGGAACCAGGTAAAGCCTTATTGAAGACTATAGCATCAAAACGAGCAGAATTAGAAGCTGGCCCATCCAGACTCAACGAAACTGCTACCAGTAACACAGACATGGTATTTTCACCCAATCCTTAATAGCAAGTTGTTGTAATTTGTTGTACATTCATATATATTTTTACTGAATTTCAAGATTAAATTTCCCTTCAAGTTAAAAAGGCGTATTTTAAAAAATATTAGGAATTAGAAAAAATATACATTATGTATACAAATTTATTGAAATATTTTAAATTATAACTACAATTTTGTTACTTGAGAATAAAACTGCGCCAAATACTTTTGGCTCGGTATACTATACATTTGGCAATAATGCAGAGATTAGCAATTTAATAAATTGTTCGTTGCGACACTATCACTGTACACTTGTGTCCACTGTACGCTTCAGTCAAAATACTCATTCAAAACAAATATTTACTGCGTTCAAATTATTACACATATTGTAAAATAAAAAAAACACTATCAGAAATAAAAGTTAAATTCTTTCAATAATAAATTATACAGCTTTATAAAAATTGAGACGTTGCCCCACTAAGTGAGATTTAGATTATTCACTTTGTTACGTGATATTACATTTTAAAATTTTTTTGAATACAGTAAAAAAACCTTATGAAAGGTAAAATGAAAGTTGTCCCTCAGAAGCTGCTAATCTTAACTTTTCTCTCATTACTTCGATACTAGAATAATCCGGTAGTTTGAGGTAGTTTACACATGTCATCACAGAAGGAAGGAAATCATCGGGATTCATATTTGTTTCTAGAGTCTTTCTTACAACAGTCAATGGAGGCGACAATGCTTTAAAACCTAAAATAAAAAACAATACGAGTTAGAATAGACCTTATATGTACGACAAATAAGAGACACTTACCTCCTACAGGCAGTCTGGGACTGCCGGTTAAAAATTGTACAAACATTCTTTGTTCCTCTCTGTCATATGAACTAAGCACTTCAAATAAAAATTTAATAGCCCGGGAATCGGCGGTATAACCGTGGTCTGGTCTGCAGCATTCCATCAACGTTTTCACGTCCCATCCCGAGATGAAATCTTTGGGACTACCGCAAAATACGGCTTCCAATTCTTCCGGTTGAAATACTTTCAAATTGTGTAATGGGAAAACCGATTCGAATCCTTCCTTTAACGATTCCATTTGCCTCACAACGCCTTCATAGAGGATCCAATGGGTCAACAATTTAATGTACAAGTGAAGATTGTGGATTGTGACATGAATTGATTTTCCGTTTTTCATTAATTCTACGTTGTATCCAGGTACTACAAAATCTAATCCCAAATCTTCAATGGAGCAACCGTCGAATTCAATTTTTTCCACCTAAAATAAAAAAATAAATAACAGTACAAATGGAATGTTATATTTATGTTTCAACTAACTTCTATTATTTGTTGTTCTTGACTCAAGTCTTCATTCATGAGAATATCATCCCGCTCTTTAACAATAAAATACATTCTTCTCAACGTCTTGTGCAAATCTGGATTGACCTGTTTAAGATCAGAAAGAGTAAAACAAAGTTCTTGGCCCAATAACCAACGGTAAAAAGTTGTAGAAAATGGAAGATCCAGCTAAAACAAACATACATTGTATATTAATTATACCAAATTGCAATAAATTCTCAATTTTGAAATAATATCAAAAAACTATTTTAAAGCTTACCATTCTCGAATCCATAACTGCCTTTGCCATAAATTTGCCCAAAAACCTAAACTTGCTCTTGATTTTCGTAAGCTGACTAACTTTTGCTCCTCTCGCTAACGGTACCGGGAACAGTCCCGATGGATTGTTTACGTACTCATTATCACTGGTGCTCGGAGAATTCCACAACTCCAAATTAGATTTTTGCAGTTCTTTGGAAACTAAAGCGTAGAACTCCAGCGTCGGTCCTAGACCGGTTCCAACTTCATTTTCGTATTCCACTTCAAGTAAAGCTTTCGATGAAGCCAAATCTTGCATCACTTGTTCGGCTTGTTTGAGTATATCTTCACGGGATATAGTGCGTTTTCGTCTGTCCAGTCTTGGCGTAACTCGTTCTTGAGAATCACTCGAACTAAGTTCGGGAGACATATCGAGCAATCTGCAACAATTTATTTTTTTTACAATTATAAATCAACGTATCGAATGTATAAAAATAACATACCTCTGTAAGGCACGATCTCTGTCAAATGATGTAGCGTAGAAAAGTAACTGACGAGTTTCGAAAGGAAACAAAAAAGGACACACAGAAGCGATTTGCTGTAACCAATTGGGTAAGTTACCCGTCATAATGACTAGAGGGTCTTGTAATTGTCGACTAGCCTTAGCAGCTATTTTACTGTTCAAAAATTCCGAAGGTGGTAAAATGTACTTATATTCAACACTAGGATATAAATAAGTCCAATAGAGATTGAGAGCATTTATGATTCGAAGGAGGCACAACACTTCCAATGATGCGTCTTGTATGGTAACTGTGTCGGGGAATTGAGTAACAAGGAATGGATCCAAAGGCGATTGGGGAAGAGGTGTTGAACCTTCTAAAATATAAAAAAATAACAATTATAATATAACAGCCAAAAAGGATAATTTGTTATGAATAAAAACACTTACCGTTCCACAACTCATCAACTTTACGTCTCGAAGTATTTTTTCCAGAAGAACCTTTACCTTTTCTACTAGAATGATTTGAGGTTCCGCTACTACCTTTTGTAGTTGCCGATGGTTCTTCTTTCAATGGTCTGTAGTAGATAACGTGCGTTTGGACCCAAATACCGGCATTACCTAGATAAATATTATGAATATAAAATATGAATAACTCACCGAAGGAACATTTTAAATATTACCTAAAGGGGTTTCATTATCAGTATCAGTCTCACTCTGGTCGTTCCCGTTGTTGCTAAATTGTCTCACAGCCTGATAAACAGTCATGTTGTAAGGCAGCACGTTGTTGCCTATAAGAAATTGCAACTTATGCCTAGTACCGGTTTGTGATATTACAACACCGGCTAAAGTATCATCTATATCATCGTCTGTATCAGCCTCATCGCTGTCAATGATATCTTTATCTCTGAGTCTACCATATCCTCTTACTACTAAGTAACGTTCTATTGCTTGAACTAAAGCTAAAGGATCGATTTTAACTGTACCCCCTTTCCATTGCTTTAAATTTGAACATTCTGGATGTCTTTGAAGATTGCACTACGAAAATAATACGTGAGTCAGTTGCAAACTTATTCAAGTTAGACGACTTACCTTTAACTGATGGGTATTGAAGAACTTTAAAGCACTAGTACCACCTCTGCCGGCTCCTGAACTAGCCGGTAAATCGTGAACTTTCACTGGAAATTGCTCCAATTGCGAGACACAACCGTTGAGCTTAGCGACCAGCGCTGCCATCCAAGTAGAATTCAATTGCGATATTTCCTTTGTGTCGCCATTAAGCGGACAATCGGCAAAAACGTTTAACAGTATTCTAAGTCTTTGTTCTCTATCAAATGGTCCGTTTACGTCCGCTAAATAGGACAGCAGCGCCTTTATGAGACCCGAATAATTCACTTCAAAAGGCGATATGTCAGATTCCATCAAAATTTCTCTTAGATCCAGCAGCGCTTCGCGACAAGAAGTAGTTGAAAGTTTATCAATAGCCAGTTTCAAACGGGTTATGACTGTTGTGGCAGGATGAGGATCGTCATCAGTGCTTGAATAGATTTCTATAAATTTGGAAGCTTGCTCCCTTATCCAAGTTCTCGTCTTCTCTCTATTGCCAGCTGTAATGTGGGAATTAGATGCTGATTTGGACAAATTGTTCAAAGAGTCCTTGCTATAATTTCTGTCGTGAGAAGAATTCATATTCCTTCCCCATCTAGCAGGATTTAAACTTTGTAGAAAGCTCGTTTTTGAACTTGAACCGGAATATCTGGGTCTTGTATTACTAAAAAATTAGGTAATTCAATAATCGTGTTAATTAAATTTCCAAAAATAACTTACCTTGTAGCAGAATTTCCTATAGAAGCAGCTTTGGTAAATAGATCTTGCATGAGGGATGGTGATAGGGGCATCTCTTCATGTTTAGATTTAGATCTGCTAGACCCACTTGCCCGTTTAGCCGCTCTTTTTCTTTTCAGAACATCGCTGAGACGAACGTGAGATGGACTAGGCGATCTAGTTTCCGAGTCCTGTAATCGTTGCGAATCAGGCGAAGACGCACAAAATGAAGAAACGGGAGTAGTCAACACAGCCGAACCATTGGCCGTTTGCAATGTAGTGTTGGCTGATGACTGTGATGTTCCAGGCTGTGATTCACTTAAACTCGACGAAAACGAAGTTATGCTGTTTGCTTTAGGCGGGCTCACTCCTAGCGGTACCTGCATTAAAGAAAATCATGTGTAATGAAACGTCCAGTAAAAATAACGCAACTTTAAATTACCTCTGGATCGGCTAATCTATTAATTTGATGTAGGACGCCTTCCCTTCTAAAATGTACTTCAAATTCTTCTGGTAACTTGTTCATTAATATTTCGGCCATCTGTAATGCTCCCACTACTATTCTCAGATCGCTGGATGCCATCATACCTGCAATATGGCTACTAACGACTTGATTCTTCAAAACATCCCTTAGTAATTCGGGATTTGCGTAATACACCATTCGTAGAAGAGCTCTGAGGCATTTAAATCTAACAGCGGGACCTAAAAAAAAGCTTCGTCGTACAATCTATTCCCGTGTCTCTGCAACACTAACAAACAGTACCTGCACTCGAAGAATATACTTCGTATAGAACCGAAAACAGCGAACGAATGAAAGCCGCGGCCAAACCTCGCTCTTCCCTCAGACAAGCAACTCGAGCGTCTCGGCTGGCGCTAAGAGGCCTACTGGGAGCCTGTGTGGGTTCGACGGGGCTACTCTGTACGTTGGTGGGTGTAAAGCGTCGCTATAATAAAATAATGTTCAATGTTTCAAATCCTAAACCCTCATAGAGATTCAATAGGTACCTGAACTGGTCTGGAAGTGCCTGTATCTTCATTAATTTGTTGCATTGAATGAAAATCGATCGTGTAAATTCTGCCCAAAGTATTCAAACTGACTTCGTCGTCGCTGTTCATGTGCGAAGCTTCAATAATTCTGCTGTCCACTGCTCCGTACGGATGCCACAGACCGCGATCGTCCCTCCATTGCCAAATCGGCTGATCCTTCGAAACGGTAGAAGGACGTTCTAAAAAACTGTCTACAGCGAATATTCCGTCTGTCGGTAATTTAGGCATTAATTCGCCTATCAGAGCTGTAATTTCAAATTGTTCCTGTGGTTGCCTGCAATAAAAACGAACATGGTTATACCGGAATGGCTTTTGTGGCATTTTTAAACATCATTTTTTGAATTTTTTTGTATGCATTACTATACACAGTGCATCAAAACTTAAAACAACGACTGCACCTGATATGCAATGTTTTGCTCTATGCCCCAACCTTTACACAAATCTATGAAGAGAAAATTTGTACAAAACGAAGTTGAAGCAAAATTTGAAATAATGCCAATTTTATACATAACTTCCATAACTTAAGGAATTAGTAAATTGTCGCACTAACTAAATAATTGGGCATTTTAATTTCATGAGTGCTATTCTAATAATATAATTAATGGAAATTGAAATTATACCTTGGAATTAATTCGATATCATCCTGATTGACTTCAGCAGATCCAGTCAGTAAATAAAGCAACGTCTCGGCGATGTTCTGTTTTAAGAGCGTCAAAGCGAGATCGGGACAGTTGGCGCACATCACAGACAACATTCTCAACACGGTGATAAACGTTCCCGTGCTGACGATAGGCGGTGTTACGACTAATAATTGTTGAAGGTTCGTAAGTAACTCCGTGCTGGCTATTTCTTGTAAACGGGACGGTTCCAATTGAAAACTATCTACGAGACGAGAGAATGCCAAACAGACGCTTTCGACGCACTTTTTATCTTGTTGCGAGAGCCGAGAGGCGAGAAGCGACAGGGATTCTTGAACGTATTGAAATTCTTCGGAATTTAGACTCAAACAGCAATTCGCCGTGATGGATAAAGCGTTACGTTGGGCGCTTATCGAAAAAAAATCCAAGTACATTAGACACGCCGAGACTCCCCTCTGAAAAATACAATTTCAATTATTTTAGCAATACTATATAGACGACAATTTTACTAACCGCTTGAAGTATTGCTTTTGAATGTCTTCTGGATAGCATATCGAGAGCTGTAAGAGACTGTTCTGCTACATCCATACATTGAATCACTTGTAATTTTTCCAAAAATACAGGTACTGCATCCACTACTACAGCTGACGACCGAGGCAATGCTTCCATCATGTATGTTAATGCTCTGCACGCATGGTTCATCTAAAAATACTCATTATATTATCGTTTTGCACATAAATCGCACGTTGTACTTACAATATCAAAATTGTGTTCCATTCCGAGCAACGTTATAAGCGCCGGAACGACTTGTTTAACAGGAAATCCGGTTAAAATTTCTTCGTTACCCATTACTAAAACTTGGCACATTTCTATTACAGCTTGTAATTGTTGGCCTTCATCTCCTGTCGCTTGTAAACCGGGTATTAAGGCTTGAGCTCTTGCAACAGCTACAAAATGAAAGATCAAGCACAATCCTTTGAAAAATCAAAAAGAAAAATATTGTACGTACAGCTGTTAGTTCCCATGCTCCTGTGCAGCATCTGCTGCATTCTCGGTCCGAGGGCCCCAAAGAGATGTGGAGGTAAACCTCTAGCCTCGAGTAATGCCTGCAGTCTTCCCACTTCGCTGTCATCGCTTTCGGAATCGGCTCCGGGTCCCGAGGGGCCGCCGCTGGCCGGAACGGCTTGTGTAGCTTCTTGTGGAGACGGAGGTTCTTCAGAAGCTGAAGCGATAAACAATAACTCGTCATTGAGGGACGACAGGAAGTGTAATAAGTCCAAGGCTTCCATTTTTGGTTTAATATTTTTTTTTTAATTAAGGGTTTTTTCTAATTAACGATATTAAGGGTCATTTGACAACGATTGACGTTACCGAGACAACTGATAGGCAAAAAAGGGGCTTTTGTATTAATCAGTAGTGTCAATTTTGATAAGAGTTGCGTAATTTTTAAACCAATTACTGGCGGTTTACAGTAATTTTTTAATTAAAATTTAAAATTACAGTCTACAGTAATTTTCAGAGAAATTGTTTTGGTAAATATAACAATTAGTTTAAAAACGAGAAATATAAAATAGAAAGTTTAATCCACAATATCAGACAAAATATCCAAACAACCATTAAAAACATCGTAACAGCTTGATTAGTTTATAATTTAAGCCAACAGCTTTAGGATTTCAAATCACAATGAATCTCCTGAAGAAGAATGAAGTCTTTATCTTTATACATACAAGAATTATTTTGCGAGACTTGGCAAAATATTGGTGATTTGTAAGTAAAAGTGCATTATTAATAGGTAATTGTTTGTTGTACGAGTACTTCTACTTTCTTCTTTTAAATTTTAAAGAAATATTAATTATTTTATTTTATTATATTTTCATTATCTAATTATATTTTGCATAGATAAGAACAAATTATAAAAATGTTTTACTTACTATGAGTCATTTTTAAAGGTTATTCAACTAAATGTTGCTTAAAAATTACAGTCACATCGCAACGCTACAAAAACACGAAATAAATCAAATCACTTTTACTTGAGAATCACAAGAGTGCGACTAATTGGAAAATGAAACTTGCGCTGAATTGGTAGTGGTAAAATGAAAGTAAAGCCAACTAACAATAAATTATTTATCATTATCTATAGAGGAAGAAATTGGTGATAAATTGATTTGATTGCAATAGGTTTATCGCCATGAAAATAATGTTTAATATTTTATAATTAATACGTAGAAATATTAAAGAGGTCAATTAGTAGAGGTGGAATTAAAAATGATATTTTTACTCACCAGAAAGTCCGTTATTGGGCATTTCCGGTTGATCAGCGGCCATGGCTGCGGCAGCTTGGGTAGCAGGGGCTGAGAGGAGTGCCGGTGGTGCTGCCGACCCAACCTTTTGCTGCCTCACTGCCCTTCTCGAGCCGCTGCCGCTGCCACTAGCGCCACTAGAACTTGCACACGAACCCGTTGTTGAGCTGTGCCCTATAACGATAAAATTAATATAACTACTAAATCGCTTCATTCAATTTACTTAATCTTTATTTCGATTGAAGGCAACTCAAATAGTTAAGTAATTAAGTGACTCTTATTTCGTCAGTTTCCCAAGAAAATTACATAAATTTATTAGGGTTTCGATTAATATTGAAAATAATAAATCCAGTTTATTTAATAGTATTATTATTACAGTATAATATAATTGCACAAGTTTTTAAAATGATAGCAGTTGTAAAAACGAATTTCATGTAACACTGGAATTTTCAATTGGCTATTATGATCAAATTAAAATTAATAGTAGCACTAGAAAGGAAACATTTATTGGTTATTATTTTTAAGTTAATTTTTTGAATTATGTGTTGTTCGAAAGCAATCGTAAATTATGGCAATATTAGCCAGAAATGTGTAATAAAAACCACAGGTATATTATGTATAAAAAGAATTTTACCTTAGGACATTTCGCACAAAAAATTGAATATTTATAAAACAACCACACATCAAATAATCAGTAAAGCCGAAATTAAATCACTAGATGTAATTCAAGCTCGTTCTATGACAAAAAACGTCTAGTTAACGAATTTAACTACGTTTCAACGAGAAACAAATATAGCAATTTAAACAAATGTACGTTAAATATCTAAAACAAAATGAAAAGATATCTAATCTATAAGCAATATTAAAATTTTATACATTAATTGTAATTCATTGCATTAACTATTTATATTAATTTAAGTCAATGTTCACTAGTAAACAAACCTGCGCAAGTAAATAATTATTGTATTGTTTGTTCCATCTGATCAGTGACTACCACTTTCTTATCATTTTTTTTTATTCCATGACTCGATAACAGGGGACGTTAAATATGTCTGAGTTTATTAAGCAATTTAGAATATAATTTAGTAGTATACATATTTTGCAATTCATTATCGATAATTACAACAAATTCTTCTATAACCCCAAAGTTATTTACATCCATCCCATTATGTATAATTTAGTACATAATAAACATAATTAACAATAAATAAATAATAAATATTGCAATTTTAATATTAGGGAAAACTATTCGAATGGTTGGTAAAAATTAATAATTCGTTGTTCACTTCGCACTTCACTCTTTTGTGATGTTATGAATTTCAACACTCTCGACATTGTTATTGTTGGATTATAATATAGCCTACACTTCTTATAATCTTTTACTTATTTTAATGTTGAAATTTATGTTGATTGGTTTTAGAATAATGTCATTTTAATATTAGATAAAATCGTTTTATCTTTAAGAGTGCACTTCCGTTTATTCTTCCAACTACATAAAATATATAAACGTTATTCTTGTAAATATTATCTCTTAATTTTTAAATCCTCTGGTACTGTATGCATTTTTACAAGTAGGTTACATAAACTAAATATTGCTAACGTAATTTTTATCAAAATATTTATTTTGATTTTATAATTATAACAAATTCTCTCACCCAAAAGAACCATTTTTATCAATTTCTCTTCAATATGTTTTAAAATTTATGTATTTTCTTCAACGAAACCAGACACAATATAGACTAGTCATATGTACAAAACTAAACTACGGTGTATAAAATTCCACATTGTGGTGCATTATCAGGTAATCACCAAAAATTAAAACCTGTTGTCAACAAAACCGAAATTAGAATCTAGCATTTGATTGGACAGTACATGATAAATATATTTGAATATTTACTTATCAACGATCAATAAGAATAAATGACAACCTTGATATGTAACCATTCAATTTTTGTAGGAAAATGTTGCAGTAAAACATGATGAAAATTAAATTAGTATTTATAAAGCACGACAATTTGTTTAGAAAAAATGTACATTGCTGAGAAGTTACAGATCTTCAAAGTGAAGTTAGAAATAAAAAAAATAGTATTTCTGTAATACTAAAATTTAAAACAACTAAATTTGGTACCTATACGTTATGAGTGTATAAAGAGCATTAATCGATAGATAGGAGAGATCAATTCATGTATTTTAAAGGGTCCAAGAGGGATGATACTCCCATAAAATGTTACAGATTTTTTTTAAACTGATGGATGGTTTAAAAAATTATTAGTTCATTTTATGGGTACATAATTTCATTTTAAAACTTTTAATTTTTTTGTCGTTTTGATGTAAAACGCTAAAAAATAAAGTCGTCTACACTATCAATGTTATTTAAAATAGTCAATAATTCAAAAGTTGGTTGTGTTAAGTTATATTATATTTTAGGCTCCTCTACATGCCCCTGATGTTCTGTATGTGTTCTTATGCGGGACACCCTGTGTTATTAAATAAATACGAATTGAATTCATTACGAAACTAATAAAATGGCGGACGTTACTAAAATATGTTATCTGGACAAATACACAATAACTTCGAAGAGGTTCGTTTCGTAACAAATCACTGAGAAAATTATTAGTACCGTTAGTCAGTGAGAGAAAGTTTTATCCTAGCATTTCATTATCGTACCAAAATCAAAAATAAACAAACAGGCATTAGTCCATATTTATAAAAATGAAGCATTTACTTCATTTAAAGGTTTTGCAATGATCCATATTCATAATCTCTGCCTTTTTGTTGCAAGGAAACGTTTTGGATAAAAAAAGTAAATGGTACAGAGATTAGCGATTTCGTCCAACTAGTCAAAACGAGTCTAAATGGTGCTAAACAGTTCTAAATGATTCAGGAGCGTTCTAGATTGATCTAGCCAGTTCTAGGTAATTTTGGAGCGTTCAAAATGGTTTTAGACTGTTTAAATATTTCTGGAGAATTCCAGATTGTTCTAGACAGTTCTAAATGATTCTAAACAGTTCTAAATGATTCTAGACAGTTCTAGATAACTATGAAGCGTTCTAAATGGTTCTAGACAGTTCTAACGTAAATACACCCTGTCAGCCATAACAAACTGATGAACACAGCCAATATACACAAAAAATTTACGTTACAAGCTATGTGGTGGCTGAGTAACTACTGAAAAGATCGCGAAAAGTTGCTATGAACCTAGATTCCATTTTTACGAGCTCCTTTTCTTTTTAAACAAAAACCTTTTTTTTTACAAATAAGGATAACATAAAACCTTTTGCTTTAAATCAACAGCAGGTTCCTTGAAGCAAAACTTCTTCCTTTACTTCTTTTTGTGAAGCAATTCCTTCATTTTTTGAAAGCAAAAGGTTATGCTTTTTTAATAAATACGGCCTATTGTATCAAACAATTTATAAAGAAATTATTCCAGAAAAAAATGAAATGTTAAACTTATTGCTAGACAAAAACTTACCTTTGCTAGTCCGTGTGCTACGCCTCAACACTGCTCCACTGCGTGTGAGGCGAGAGGGCTCCTGAATGTCCCTTGTAGTTGGTTGACTGCTGCTCGCCCCCAGTGCTAAATGTTTCTTTTTTCCTTGTTCTTGTGAAATCTTTTTTGACAGAGGAATCGAATTGCTAGTGTGAACTCTCGTGGGAATCTTACTGTGACTTCTTAAAGGGTATTTGTGACCCTGGAAATAATGGAAAGAGTTTAGTAATTTGCATAATACAATATGTAAGGAGTATACAAAGTGAAAATGAAGTACTTACTTGTGTGTAAGTCGAATTAGAAGTAGACGAACCAGCTTCTAAAGTGTCTTGTAGAGAAATGTTACAATTCAAGTTTCCTTTGTTTTTATCGGACCTCTTGCCTTTTTCCGGTTTGTCTTTTGTATTACAATCTAAATGGTTCTTGTTAACGTTGTTAGCACTCGAAGGTTTGCTTTTTTCCTCTTTTTGCGTATCTTTGGAATTGATTCGGGAACTGGAACCTTTTCTGTGTTTCCTCTTAGTTTTAGTTAAATCTGTACAGCTATTATTTAAGGAGTTAGGAGGATCCGTGTTGTTATTTCTTAAGCCTAATTCTAAATGATCTTTTCTATAGTTAACGTCTATATTATGTTTAGTATATTTTTTCTGTTTCGGTTCACTGTCCGAACTGGGAGATTGTTCTGAATCGCTTTTAGAGTGCTTCCTCGATTTCGAATTTGTTGTTGACGAAGGTGAAACTTTACGCACTCCCGAAGATGTCGAAGGTATTTCGAATTGCGATTTTGATCTCGATAAATGGTCAGATTTTTCAAGATTCTTCCTTTTAGAAGGACCCGACCTTGAGTTTTTAACCTAAAAACGAATCCATTTATAAATTTTTCATCCTATTTTCCGAAAACGCGTGGTTACGTACCTTATGCGATGCTTGGGATGTGGTCGTACTTTTGTCTGAATGTTTGCTTTCTTCTTGCGAGGAGGTTCGGAGGCGCTTAGCCTCTGAACGTGGCTGCGTTGGCAGCACACGCTTGCGGCGGCTAGTGCTGGCAGCAGCGAGTGTGTTAGCTGGATCTGCCATAGACGAAGCGTTCTAAGCTCCTCCACTTACTAGCGACACTCATTCCCTTTTAATTCAACTTGCTCTTGGGTTTCTATGCGATGCTGCAACAAGTCGATGGGTCTTTTTAAAAACACTATTGACAATTTAAAGATTTACAAAAAAAGAAACTAATGGTTGATTGCAATGTGGTGTTAGAGAGTATAAGCCACGAGTGCTGCTATTGGTTGTAGGTTTCGATAAAATCTGTTAGTAAATAATTTGACCAATAACTGGTTTTTACATACATGTGACAATGACATTTTTTGACGTATTTTGAGTGAAAAATATGGCTATTTATAGTATTAGGAATGATGGAAAAAATTATATTAAATGTGTTCTGTGCATACAATAACTATATACATAAAGGCAAGTTATGAAAATATTGCGATTAAATAAAATACTTGGTATCTCATTGAAGTCAGGAGAAGATTGCAATCAAATGAATATTAAATGTATCTGAAACCATCACTGCTAAAAATCCATTCAATCTAATCAATCAATCAACCTAATATGTGAGCACCATTTTCTCAAATAGCACACTAACTTTGGATTGTATGGTCTCAGTATAACCTAGAAAGTGCTAATATTTGTATTGATTAAACCATTTCTAGACTAATTACAAATTTCAAATTAAAATTTAACTTTAAATACCCGTTTGTTGATGACAATCTATGCATAAATGCATTAAAATTGAAGACATATTTGGCTACATCAGTAGTTTAAATATAGATTAGTAATGAGAGTTTGCTATGTATAGTTTATCACTGTGCATGTATGTAAAAAACCACAACCTAACTCTCCACAACCACATTTTCCTACATTAACGTCCATAAGTTTCCACTTTCCACTTCCACTAGGCGAGGTTTACGTGCTTTAATTATAGCATAAAAATGGTTTTCTTGAGTGAAACTATTGAAAAGTGTTGAATCAATTCACGCCTAAACAAATACTAGTGTAAATGCAGCAGATATCTCGTCTTGTTCATGTATAATCAACTTCATGAATATGGATTGTTTACTTCATTTAAATTGCAATGCTATGCCTTTCTTATAAATAAACTAAAGCAAACCTATGTTTTTAGGCATTCTAGGTGATTATAGAACAAAAACAGAATTTATATTGATAAACTTCTCTTTGTACTTATTTATTAGTATTGCGAAAATAAAATAAATATCCTTTAAGGTCATTAACGTAATTTAATGCTTACACGAGTATAAGTAACCACAAAAATTGTTTCAATACCAGAAAGAAACTAACAAATAATAGATTCAATATCCTTTCACATCGAATACAGCATCGTAGGAATTTATATTAAGCACAGAAAAATCCAGAATCCATTTTACGAACATTATATGACATTGGTATCAAAATGAAATAAAACTATTAACGACCAGTCAACTACAGATGGTAAATTCGTAGAAAAAATAGCCGTAAGTTTTTCTTTTAAAACCTACCAAAACTACACTCCATCGTCCGAATCTAAACTTGAATTTGTTGCGTCGAAATGCGGCTCATAAATACTCAAATGGGCCAAAGAAATGAACGAAAAATGAATAATTTTGTTCTACACTGTTAACTTTACAACTCGCAACACGAACGGCTGCCTTGGATAGCCAACGATCACAGCGAAAATCCCGTTTACACCACACAAAATATTTGGAAGACCAGTTTCCAAAACCAGTTATTCGTACGTTTCGTGACAAAACCTATTCCGAAATACGTTAAAATTATAAAATAGATCTTACTTGCACGTTTATTCTGCCCAAAACTGCCTCACTTAAACATATGATCCATAATGCACCATTATTTTTCCAATTTCAGTATGATAAGCAAGTTTTACAATAATAAAATTGATCGAAGGACGCCTAGCGGCTGTTTTTCGAACTTCAAAACACTTATGTCTAAATTATAATACAGTATTCTATTTACAGAAAACATTTATGTTATCTGTAGATGGCAGCACAAGACAGAAATAAAATTTTAAATGTTTTACTAAACTTGGTTCTATGGTTTTCCGTTTTGTGTTAATTCTACTTAAAAAATCCTAAAATATTGAATATTTTCAGCAACTGAAAACTGTTTTTAGTTCTAATTAATTATTTCTATTCATATGTTTGGCTAAAAACCGTATATTTCACATCGTATTGTAGAAAACTTTTTTCCAAAATGGAAAATGAAAAATATTTTCCAAAAAGGAGTTTGACATTTTTAGTCTTCTTTCTGGATTGCTATATTTGAAAGTAGCCCCTTTAATGAGCCCTTAATTTTTAAACGCCTATTCATAAAAACTTTACGAAAAGACTTTCGCAAAGACTTTATGAAATTACGCATTACGAATACAGGGTGTTTTATTAAAATTTCCTCTTTTAAATTCACAGTAGCCATTTTTTTTAAATGGAACACCCCGTATATGTAAAAGTATTTTGAAAGATATACTCTTCTACTTTTCAAAAATGTATTATTTGTACATGTTATTCTAGAAAAGAAGATGTCCTATTTCAGGCGATATAAAAATTTTGTGTCACTGTAACAAAAAGTTATACAGGTCGTACGAATTATTCCGCTGCAAGCATACAATGAGAATAATGAGATAGCTAATTGAACTTTTGCTATGTAAGGAATAAAGAGAGCATACGAAATAATCACGCCCGCTATCCCCGCTATTCGCTAGTGGACGAAGCGAAGCGAATTGACGAATTCTAATATCGGCCGGCAACCGATAAACAAGTTTCTGTTCTTTACTATCTTATAGTATTGATTCTAATATCGGCCGGCAACCGATAAACAAGTTTCTGTTCTTTACTATCTTATAGTATTGATTGAGATTCTAATTCTAATGCTTGCAGCGGATCAGTTCGTACGACCTGTATAGCAAAATAAAATATATCTGCGAAAACCGCATGTTTCTGATTAGGCGTTTAAAAATTTTATTAGTTCATTAAAGGGCCTACTTTTCATTGGGGCACCCTGTATTCTTAACACATAATAATGACAAAAATTTAATTCAGATTTGAAGAATTCATTCGAAATTAATCCTTTGGTTCACACTTTAAAATAGGTCCAAATTTTAAATTGTTAGGTATACTACGTAAAATTCGTATCCGCGATGAAGGTATATAGCGATTTTTCATATTTTCAGTCAAGTTTTGTAATCTGCATGGTAATTACTAAAATAAATGCAGCTGAACTAAGGCTTAAAGAGACCGGGAGAGACTTAAAGAGGTTTGAATTTACCTGGAGATTGGAGATTACTGATGGGGATAAACGTGCCATCAGGAGAGACCTGAACTTGAAGAAGCCTAATCAGATGTTTCTTTAGATACAAAGAGATAATGAGAGATCTAAAGAAGCCAGTTTTATAAGACTAAAAAAGAGAAAAATGAGGAGCAATGTTGTACTATAATAATATAATTATTGTCCTATACAATAACTGTTATTACATGAGCTATTTTCTTGCAATGCTCTATTAGGTTCTGTTATTTATTATGTGTGAATTTTCACCTCATAAAAAGAGTAATAACTTATTGTATAAATCCATTTCTCTGTAATGTAACACTGTTTTCAGTGATAATAACACTATCATCAATGCAAATGTTTCATCAAATGATCAATCAGTCCATCTATTAAATTGTAACTAAATTTGAACAACCTATTACTTTGCTATCGGAGATAACTATTGTTTCAAGTGATTTGAATTAGCCTGTTCTGATTGGATTTATTCAATTAGGTGTAATTTGACGCTTCCATTAACAACAGGTCAAAATCAATTACCTGCTGCATGAACAAACGTTATACAGGCTACATTAAACTCTTCGATATACAATTTATACATTCGTTAAATTTTCGGTAGAAATTTCAATCGCAAACAACACAATAAATAAATAAAAAAAAAATAAAACACCCGGATATGCACTAACGCATCCGCCACTGTCTATAATCGATCGATTTGGCTGGTCCAGGCGTCTCTTGCGGGGCGTCGTGACATTACGCTCCCAGGATCCCCTTTTACAGACTCCGGACTCCGGTGAGCGTTTAGTTTTCGGGAACCCCCATCGCGAGTAAGCACGGCGCTTTAACGCTCGCTGATCGCTCAGGCAGAGATCGACGTGTTTTCATCGGAAGAATTTCTGGACGAAATTTTCGAGCTATTTAGAAAGTAAGTGGTTCTTTTGAACAGTCTAGATGTTTTTTTCGTATTCGAATTTGGAGTCTTAAAAAGAATGTTTATAGAATTTTAATTACACATTGTAGATTTTATTTACTTTTGGAATATTTAAAAAAAATCAAATAAATAGGGGAGATATATTTTTTTTTTGTAAATGAAACTACATAGGTATACAATAATACATGGTATATATTGGTAAATATTGTAGATTTTATTTAATTTTGGAATATTTAAAAAAATGAAATAAATAGGAAAGATATAATTTTTTTTGTAAATGAAACTACATAGGTATACAACAATACATGGTATATATTGTTTAATTTTTAAATCTCTTGACATAACTTTTTAATTACCTTCGCTTATAATTATAAAAATTTGTACTAATTAAATATAATCATCACCAATATTTTTTATTATGTTTCCTATGTGTAGTTAATTAAATTATTTAAGTTTTAATATACGACGATCATTAGACGAACAACTAATGCAAACTTTTGAAACCGAAAATTGATTTCCAATTTATAATTACTTTCGATAATAACTGCAATTATACATATACATATCAATTACCTACCTACATACCTATTAATTTAAGTTAACTCACTGTTAATGGTTACACTTGGTAATTTCAGATAGTACATTAATGCAATGGAGTTATAAGCCAAAATTGAATCCTGCAGGAAACTTTAGTATAATAATTAAAGTAAAAATTTCATGTATTAATTAATTAACAAACAAATTAACTAATTAATAACTAACTGATTTTCATGAGCTTGTTTTCATGAAATATATTTTTTTGTCTTTTATTCAATTTTTTATGATTAATTATCGATATTCTGGGTAAGACGCAGAAAGTGATTATAAAGTGAGCTCCTATATATTAGCTTGCTTAGACTAAATGCCAATCGATAATGTGATTTTCCTTATTCACGATGTATTGAGGCAGCAGAAGCATGTTTGCCTATTAATGAAATTGGAATTGTTAATTTATTAATTAATCTCTAATTTTAAACGCATTATTAAGACGACAAAATAGATCCACAAAACAGCAAACTTTATAACTGACACATATACATATAAGTCATTATTAAAACATCCAATAAAATTCTCCTCTTCTTAACAATTTACAAAAATATTAGGTACTGTACATACCCGGTTACCTGTTTCTGGTGCTTTGATAGGTATGCACGAACAAGCCTTATAGGTGCCCTGAATTATTTATACCTACGCATTAATCACAGAACGCGGTCTTATAGTTGCGTGTCAGCTTATTGAGCTCTTTGGGTTGGAAGAAACAACTTATATGTACGTCCGACCCTCATCGACATTTTTGAAGCCGTGAAAATTGCTTTCCGTTCTTCCCTATCCACTGAATAGGCACTGGAAGTTGATGGTTCGAACAAGGACAATCCCGAATTGAAAATAATTCATTTGCGAGTAAGCCCCAAAAAACGTGCCATATAACTACTACGTACACGCTAGAAATGTATATAGTAGCAATTTTTTCTAGCTTATACTTACACGTAAAACGAATGTAATATGCAGGTAAATTAAGAATCGCCCTAAAATATTACCAATCTTTGCAAGACTTTTATACAACATTGTTTTTTCTCTAATAAAATGTTCACTGTTACACAGCATTAGGTACTAATTCTATATTATTGTAATCATTATTACTTTTGAAATAAACAGAAAATTCAAATATAATTAAAAATAAACTTGAATATCTAAAATAAGTTATTTTAGAAGATGTTATGTTACGTACACTTACTTCATAAAGTGCTTCTAAAGTTCTTTAATCTGTACGATGTACTGTACGATAAATTCCCAGATATAATGGGAAATCTTTTGACTAGAGTATTTAGAGTTTTCTTTATACTGTACAAGTAATTACAAAAGCCACAACACGATACCCAAGGATTTATTAACTATAAAAAGTTATTTATTACAAAGAACATGATACAAAACTCAATAAAACTTTTATCTACAACCTAATTGTGGTTCGTATAGTTTCCGCATAATTTTATACCAAAAAGACTTTTAAACTTTAAATTCATCCCCCAAAGCTCATGAAATATATAAAATAAAATATAAATAAACCTATTTAAATTATGTAGGTCTTGAATCAATATAAATAAGGAAAGATACAACAGAAATATGAAAGAAATATAATACGAGACCATTTACCACCCTACTATGTTTTCATATTATACAGGGCTTTTCACGGCAACCGTCCATTAGAAGTAACTCAATAATGAAAAGACTTAAAAATCTATAAAATATAGTATGATATAAAATAATGCTATTTGTGACGAGCACGGTGAAGAAATGTTTAAAAAGCATTGATTTTCGCTTATCGGAAAAATGCATGGTGATGAATTAGTGTAAACTTTTTTAAAGTTCTTCGTTCGTGCTATGCTACTGTTTTACAAGTCTGCTATACATTTCTAATTCTTCACGCGTTAAGTTCAGCCTTTACAGTGAATTTAACTAGCAAAGTTTTCTCATCTAAAGTCGAAAGTCATTTTCAAACCGTGCATTGTTCCAAAATAAGCCAGAGGAATGTATCACGAAATTTAGTGTTTACATCCTGCTTCCTGCACAAAGTTTTTGAAATATATTTTACTTTTTGTCTAATTTCCTGAAATTTATAGAAGTTTGTCTAATATCACGGGTCTTTTTATTTCATTTTAGTAAATTGGAGCGTTTCGAAAGAGTTTCGGTTAGGTAACTTGACAGAAATAGCAAATAATTTTGAGTTTACGTGAAAAGAGCAAATCATGCGAAATTATTGTTAATTTAATTGGACTTATTTTATAAATTAATAATGCAGTATTTTGAATGTACATGTAAGTACATATAAAATGGTGGGTTGACATTAACAAGCCACCAAAATTTGAAATGTTCTTCAGAAACCATTTTTACAAAGAAGCTAAAAATGGAATTTTCCACACACATACATTTACAAGAACGTATTTTAGCAGCTTTCAAAACAACGTAAAGCGCTATTAGCTATTACTGCTTTTAGCTATTATTCAAACCTCTTTGTAATGCTTTTCGATAGGTCATAAATTTCGATTAGGTACTTCCATAAATAATTTTAAAATCACTTACAACACGCTTTATTTAACGGCATCGAAGAAACTTCAAGGGCACGTGTGATTATTAAAATTATTTACGTTCTTGTTTTCAAAACCATAGCACTTCCTTTCGCATTAAAGCAGCCTTTGGAAGGAGCTGATAATAACCTTGAGTTTCATGAGCAGAGCAATAATTCCCAATAAAAAAGGGTAAATATTTTCCCTTTCGAAACTCAATTTTCAAACAGTATTAAATAGGATTTATTAAATTTTCACTTCGACATCAAAGGATTTATTATACATATTAGAAAAAATATACTACAACCATACGATAAAAAGATAGACATTTTTATTTTACTACTTTTATTAACGTTATACTAATTAAAAATTGCACAGCGAGATTTGATATTCACTCGTATTTTTCCGTATATGTATATACTTTTACGTATCCAATTTAGAATTCTTTATATTACCTACATGTAAACACCCTATGATTTTTCTGTAGCATAGAAATGTGAAAATGGCAAGGCAGAACGTAATAACAAGAATATTTTGAACTTAATATTGAGGGAAAATACTTTTTGATGCTTTGAAGAGCGATATAATGGAGAAAATGAATTATCTTACGTTTCAGTGACACTGAAATATAATTGGAAACGAAAGCACCAATTTCTCAATTTTGCCTTACGAATCCTATTTCTTATTTATTATCACGCTTAGTCTCCTGAACATACGATAGTATATTTATGGATTTTATATAATAATGTATAGATATAGGACATATTTTTCATTTGTATCATAAATCCTGGAAATATGACTAAAATAGCAAAAGGAAATAAGCTTTATTACTTTTATCGAAATGTTTATCAGAAACTGAATTGATATTTTAAAAATAACTGCGCAAGCAGCGACTCCTTGTAATAAAAATTTCCGGTTCCTTTGCATATTATTTTTCTTCATGTGCCTTTCATTTTGCGCTCCATGCACCACTTTTACAAGTAATTCGGGTTACCAAACTCGTTCTCGTTATTTTTCGTTCAAAGTAATGCTATATTAATGAGCTCGTTATTGTGGAAATCTAATGCAAGGAAATCTCAGAGACGGTTCGTTACATAATATTTTTCGTTTGGTTGGACTAATTCCATGCCAATTATATACCGAATAATAAATATATCAATTCAATTCTTCTCCTGTGTTGCATTTAAAGCATTACTTCGTTTACAAAGTATTTCTGTTTCCAACAAAAATAGTTAGGTACAGTTAAATTGGCGGATGGTTTCCAAAAGGTTTTCAAAACTTCTATGTATTGCCGAAATAAAATTGGAATTTCAAAGTCATATTAAAAGTCAACATTTTGAGTTCTAGAATAGTCATTTAAAATCGACTATTGGAACTTTTGGTCGAAATTAGAGCATTGATGCGTTTTAAAAAGCAAACGGGCAACTATCATTTGGCTGCATATTGGAAGTTTCGACCTAGTTTCCTGAACAGGTAAACATCATTCAGTCAAATCACGAAATCGGTTACTCCGCAAACAATTCGAAAATCTACTAAGTGATGGATATTCTGGAGTTACAAACCTATAAAGATCTGTTTAAAATTGGAAATATGTTATTAATGTCTAGATTGGACATTAATAGAGGTGAAACATTTTCTGAACTCTTCATGAGTCCTTATTTAAGTAGTTTAAATAATTTAAATAAGTACCTGTAAAGGTTCCCTAAAAGCGCCCTTCTTTTGCAAGACACTCTGTATACAAATTGAATATTCCATTTAGTTAAGATAACTAAAGAATATTCCAGACTTGTTCAGAATATTTGAAGTAATTTGCGTTCCTTTTGCATAATAGATATAAGGACAATACTATTCCAAAAGTTATATTGCTTAGTTTTGTTCCAGATGCTGCTCCTCTTACATTTAAATTTAATTGTTTCACTATTTGCATGAAAGTGGGAGATTTTCCATTGTTGATCAACAACAAAATCAACTCTAGTGGCTTTCTGTTTTAAAATTTAAATTATTTCAACTTTATGAATTACTGATTGCGAAAAAACATGAAAGTTTCTCCTCACCCTTCAACATTAATTCAAACGCAAATCTACTTTTATTTACTGTTTTTACGCAAACAAGATTTTATTTTTAGATTCGACGATTTGGTCGGGCTGATCAATAATTTCACTTTACTTATATTTTATTCATTTTTTCTATAGAATGAATTCGGGGTAGAGGCTTTTAGGATATGGAGCATATGCAAAAGTAAATGGAGCTTTTGCCTTTATTAGAAACGAATTTTTTCTTGAGTTTTTATCATTACAACAAATTCATTTCTGTTTCAGGCGATATAATGAACACAATCAACATCGAACAAGTGATATTAAACGAGCTTTGAGCAGATTTAAGGCCCCTTAAAGCCATGCCTCGCTGAAAAGGCAGCCATGGCAGGCCTGCCGCTGCTACTGGGGTTGCTGGCCTGCGTTCATCTAGCTTTCTTTCAACCTCCCGTCCTCATTCTCACCGAACTCTGTTACTATCCCATTAATTTGAGCTTTATTGGACAGAAGCTGAAGGAACTGAATATTACCGTGGAAATTATGGATGAGCAAGGTAAGTCTATTATGCTTTGAATAATCAACTCTCCTTAGCGATATTATTCAAATTAACTATTTAGTTACGGGAAGTTCTGGTAAACTTTATTAATACCTACTATCTACATTTACATCATATTCTATAGAAAATTAATTATAGTTTAAGCTACTAATTAATTTAGGAATTTCGAATTTTCTTTTACTTTTTTTTCTAAAAGCGTTAATTATAGAGCAATCTCTATATGCATCTGATGCAAACCGTAATTACGCCAAGGGTTAGGGGCACATATGAAACCTGCTGCTCTATAAATCTTAAGCCCTTTTGCAAGGTCACCTATTTATAAAGCAGCATGCCGCTTTACTTTTAATCGGGTCACATATCACCCTTACTCCACTTACTCATTCTACTAATCGATGTTTGCTTGATCGGTATTTAGAGGTAAATACCTACATAATAAGAGTGCCTATTTCCATGTTAATTTTTTAGCCTGTAGGGGTAGTTATAGTTCGTTTGTAAAAAAATAATTTGCATCCCTTTGGAATAAATTTCTTCCACAAATGTTCTGTTTATAAAAACGTCCAAAATTCTAAATTCCAAATATAAATAAAACAGGGAAGTAGTCCCATTTGTTATGTATGCTGTAGTGCAGAAAAATAAAAGGAAACGCTCCGGTACAACTCAATTGTATTACTAAACTGGTAAATACAAAATTGATACTCCTTTTCCCACTGGAAAAATACCGCTTGGCGGAAACCTCTTAAAAAATGTTTGGAATGCTGCCCGGAGCAGCGTAAGGGAACATTCCCGGTTGACCATACGGAATAATTTATTTTTTAGTTCTTTCCAAATGGCAGACCCTTCGAAAGTCGATTGAACATTTAAACTCGGTAAACTATTTAATTAAATTCCGGCTTAAAATTACTTTGATAAAAGAAAATTCGGAGTTAATTGGATTTCTAATTTAAATAATGAGGGCCTACATTGATTGTCCACGAAGGGCACTTTCAATTAGTTTATAAAAAAAAAGTCGATAAGTTAGCAGGTAGTTATAAAGTTTAGTTTGTTGAAGTGGTAAGTTTCGTTGACAAGGCTTTTAGACTGTTATAAATCTTAGATATCGGTCTATCTAAAGTTTTTAGCCTGTTAAAATTGTATTAAAAGAGAAGAAATTTTAGACGTAGTTTTTGAAACAAAGCCCTTGTTAGGATAGCAAATTAATTATGCTACTTTGTGTTTTAGTTTCAAATGAATGGTAGCTTCCAAACTTTATAATTTCCATTAAAGATAATATTAATCATTTATCGTGCGCTATAATGAAAGCAGGTTTTGTAGGACATCATTCAAGATATTATAAATAAAATATAGGTCTATATACTTATAAGTAAAATGAGTAAAAGGGTAGGATGTAAACCATTTAAAATATGCAAAGCTTTTCGTGGTGATAAACAAAAAATCATAAAGCTCGATTTTTCATGTTTTCATGAATAACCTATATGAAAAAGTCATTAAGGAATCATTTTCAGCCCATAGTCTCGTTAGCTACATCAAAATAACTCCGTTACATTATAATCCGTTGCTGTTATACCATGGCTAAATTAGAATACAGAATATGTTTGCTCAGCGTTAATATTTGCTGAATATATCCACAAAATGAGCTTCAAGGAAATTACCTAATCGAAAATTGAAATTGAATTTTTTACTGTTAATTCATTTTTTATGGTCCTGTTTGATTAATGAATCACCCTGATGTCGGTTTGGTGGGTAATTTTAAAATAATTTCATCAATAAAAGCCAAAATGCTTTTACAACATTTTACGTAGTTTCATTAATTAAAAAAAAATTACCTACCTTCTTTTATATACCTTAAGAAAACATCTTTACTTCCCAAGAACTACTTCAAACAACTATCGTTCGTTCTTTAATTATTTCTTTTATTTAGCTGTATGTACTTTATTATTTCCCTTACGTCTCTAACAATTGGTAATTTGAAACCCAACTGTTGTATGTTTTACGTTATTTGGTTCTTTCCTAAATTTTTCCATTTTAAAAACCAATTTTCAATTTTACCCGCAATATTAGGCTTTGTTATCGTTATTACACTCCTGGTATTGATACTGCTAATATTAAATCCAACTTCCACGTATTATCTAAAACACAATTTAGATGAATTTTACGATGTCTTTTATGGCCTAGACATCGATAAATTGTATCGTAAACTCAGAGTTCACTGGATAAATTTGTGAGGAATATGGTAAACAGGGGTGCAGATAAATTATACGAGTGAATAAAGAAAGGCCAATAACCTAGTGTAATAATTGATTTTTATAATATTTTTGAAATAATAAAATATTTCTAACATCTAACATCAAAATATAGGTTAGCAATTAAGCTTATTTAACATCAATTTTTCATTCATAATAAAAAATCGCAGTTTGAAATGTAATATTTGTTTTGTGTCCATTATTGTTTACTGAGCATTTACATGCAAGCGTAACAAGCCATTTTATTAAAATGCATCCTGAATACACATGAGACTATACATAAATCAAAATGAATAATTTAACCATGAAAAGCGTTAATGAATCAGCCAATTATTTTATATTATAATTAATATGAGTATCTAACATTAAAATTTCGTTTTAATTAATGTGTGTTCTATTTTTCTTTCCAGATATATGTGATAACGACCAACTTTTTTATCAAGTGTCAACGAAATCGGGATTACTGATTGGCTCCTTCAAACCAGAATTATGTTCTCAGATCCATTTTCTTCGAACGTATCAAAACAGGACCTTAATATCTTGGAATTGCCCTCAGGTAAATATGATTTATGAAATTTAACTAAAGTATGAATAATCGAATGCCTAATTTGAATAATGGTTTGTTAATTTTTATTTACCATTATCTATTTTGCATAATTCCACCGCTGTTTTACGTTCGCTGTGAATTTTTTCAGGAGGGATTTGTAGTAATCGTTATCGTAAAAGTTTCCTCTGAATAAATTTGCAATGGGCTACCTAAGATTAAGAAAGAGCCACATTAACGCCGGTCGCCGCCGTCAAAACGGGACCAATTTCCGTGTTGCCTCTTTAAAAATACATTGATCTCTTTCTGCTTAAGCTTCGAGAATTCCCACTGAAATTGTTATGAAGAAAAACTCAATTTTCGGGATCGCGGCTTCGCATAAAAGTGCTACAACTTTTCGCTCTTTCCTGGCGTTGCTAAATTTCGGGGTCGTTTTTCATTTCCATGACGAAGGTTCTTTATGCCATCACTTCGGTTATTCGAATTCGTTCGTGATTGTAATTCTCGCTAGAAGCCGATTTTTATCAAAAATTTAACGTTTATTAAAATGTCGAAAACAAAAAACGAACAGTGTAATAATTAATCATTGAACTTGTTGAATAATTTTAATGTAGGCATATAGCAATCGGGAACAATACGAGTTAAAATTGATTCGCGTTGTAAACATTTACCTATTTGTCCAGCTGAGTTTTCTTATATCCTTTAATTAACCTACTCTGTGCCTCATAGGGATAAAGACAAAAGGAAACACAAGTACTATCTTGTTCCCGAAACTTCTAAATTTAAGTTAGTTATCCGGTTGTATAAGAACTTTCGGTATCATCTTGAGTAAACCAAGCAAATCGGGAGCCTTTTACTTCATTTACCAAATAAACTACTCAAGAAGTGATACTGGAATATTCTAATGATCTTCCAAACTCGGGGATTTTGAGAATTGTGAGCGGATTAGACAAGAATTAGTTTCCGTGATAACGATTCGGAGGAAATTTGGGACGTTGGAATTAATTGAATATTACGAGGAGCATTAAAAACGTTATCTACAAGAAATGATGGTTGTAAATTTAAATTTTTAAACATGTTCGCTCGGCATAGTTTTCTTGTTTTTCGAAACGTGCTTTACACGAATGGAAATTCTCAAGCTGTGAGCATAGATAAAATTGCAATATTATATTTCTGAGAGTATTTACCCTTAAATCAAATTTCTCACATTTGACATGTTCAGCTGAAAATTGTACATTTTTATGCACACTGTAGCCACATTATTATTCAGAGAGAACGTACATTCAGAATCTGTCGCGGCTGCATAACTAGATTACTGTAGTTCATCGCGACATAATGTAAATTCGCAAATGACATGCTGTGACGTGCAGATACGATTATACTGGCGAGGCCTTTTAGACGTAAATAATATACCATGGATTTTATTGAAATTTTACGAATATTCACCAGAAATTTAAGAAAACATTTCACTTAATATTAACCCGATAAATGTAAGATATCTCAATTGTGTACATTGAGGTAGGAACTACTCGTAAATCTTCGTGGGTTGGCAATATTCAATTTATGCAGGAAGTTTAGGGACTATAGAAATTAAGGGTAAGGGCGGTTTAGATAGTAGTTTACGTTTTCCATGAACAAACACCTTCCTGTCTTAGCAAGAATAATTCGGCATTTGACAGACAATCGATTACCTTAAATGCTTATGCTCGGTTTCACCAACGAAAAATAAGACCTTATTCGATGAATAAATTTAACTGCCCAATAAAAATACACAATTTTGTTCCACCAACAACAAATAGCGTTATTCGACGATTAAATTGACGTTTAAATTAACCAACGAAATTTGTACAGTTAAAGTTTGAATTGATGTTTTCTAACCTCAAATAATATTAATTTGTAATATCTTTGCAAGTATTTTTCTGATTTGTGAATTTTTATTTTTATTTATTGGTTGTTTTTTGTATGTATTTTTAGTTTTTTTTAGAACAATGGATAACAGGTACATATTATATGTTCTTTTTAAGTTATATTTCAAAATTATTTATCTATTAGATTTTTAGCATCATCTTCATCACAATCTGCATCTGCAACATCACCTGATGAAGATTTTCATTACAGACGACCTTGAATTGTTTTATAGAAAGATGGATCGTTATTAAATTTTCCTTCACATCTTCCAACTAATTTTCGCTTCTTTCCCTTTTTCGATCAATTTCAAAATCACTCTCAAACTCAAACTACAAATATAATAAAATATCTAACAATACTCACATCACGTCATAGTGACAAAAACCAAAAAATAACCTGAACAATTCAGTTTCATCTCCTTTTTTTTGGAAAGATTTGAATTCTAATGGTTGGTTTATCAGAAATATTTGCTTAAACTCTTAAATAGCTAACTAAAGATTAAGTGTTGGTGAAACGTCCAAATATTTAACTGGAGTTTAAAAGCTATTCATCGAATAACTAGAATATATTTATTTGTCGTTGATGAAACCGGGCATTAGAAACCTTATAAAACAATTAGGTACTAATAATTTATTATTAGATAAATGTATGCTCAATTTCTAAATCCCACAGAGTAACACCAGCTTCATAAGTAATGCACAGTGAAAATAAATTTAATACTAAAAATTAATTAAAAGAATATTTTAGTTTTACTTGAAAACTTGATAGACCAATTATTATGTTTTTATAAAAAGTTAATATAAGTATTCTTCGCTTATCAGTGTTTAATGCCTCTATATAGTCACGTGGCTTGGACTACTGCACTAATTAATATAGATACAAAATAAAGAAAACTTTTCGTATTCTCAGGTATGTCGGTACTTTAACAAATAATATTCTTTTTCTGATAAATTTAATTCTAAAGTTATAATGGACTTGGCGGAACTTTGCAAATTGTTATACAATCGATAATCATTCATGCCGAAAAAGTTTTAATGAAAGAGAATACTCTTACTGTAATTAAAATTAATGGTCCGTATTGGAAGTAACTTTTTTTATCTCATTTATGTGCTGAATAAAATATGTTCAATAAATCGAATAAGTCCCATTCGTTATGAGTATTAAAACATTCAACTCCCAATTAAACTGTATTATTTCAAATTTTTAGGAGTTTTCGAACACATTCACTTAATTGAAAATTTGCAGATTTCCAATAACATCAACGACGATAGTAAAACGAGACTTAGTCCTCCAATTTCTGCAATAAGTCGGGGATTTGCCAGAGTTGTAGGCGAAATGAAGTGGAAATCCGTCGCAATTATTTCAAGTGGTAAGTTGATGTAAAATTCGTTTGGTTCTCGCATTTCATAGAAATCTTCGTACGATTACTTCTAATCGAAACCGGGTAGTTACTGGATATATAGTCCGGGAATTTAACATATTTTCTAATTCTAATACTTCTCAGTATTTAATTTGGTTTTCGATTCTTGTTTTATAGATTCTTGTAGCAGAGAATTGGGATCGTTGAAAACATATTGAACTTTTATTGATAAAGAATATTATCCTAAGTTTGCATCGATATAAACCCGTTAAAACTGTTGTTGATTTCATCGGTGAGCATTTGGTGAAGCTGCAATAATCATTATAGGATTTTATTGCTGACAAATCCCGGACTATTCCAGTATGCTCGTAATATCTTTAATGGCACTCGGTGATTGAAAGAGTAAAAAGAGAACATTCGATAGTTAGACACTGATTGATGAAATGTTTACTTTAGAATATTAATGTTATTTGAACTGGATTATCGATAAAATACGTCGATGTTTTCCCGGAAATTTTGTAAATAGGTATCTAAAAATTTCCACTATTTCGTTACTAATCATTTAATGTCGATGAGAACGGTTTAAGAATGCTGAAGTAAGCCGAAAGTAGGTTTATCTTATTTTTTACAGGTTTCCCTGTCAGCAGGCCTTTTTTATTTGCATCTCGTAAAAGATTTTTATTTGCTCGACATATAGGTATATTATTTCGTGACCTCTATAATATTCTTGGCTAAGCGGGATTAAATACAGCTGTCGAAAAATCGACGAAGAAAACCCGCTCAAAGGAAACCCAATAAAAGCAGATTACGTAAAACGTTTCCATCAAAGAAACTTTCGAGTTTTCTCTTTTGCCCAAAAATCCTTTAAGCTTTTCCAACTATAAATAAAGCCTCCCATAAAATTATATTTTCTATTCCTTTTTGGATTTTAAAATGAATCCCGCAGGTGTAATTACACCCTACACTCGGAATCAAATGTTTTGCCTAAACAACCGAACAAAAATTTGCGTTATAGTAACAATACCTCGACAACGCAATTTTTAACTCTAATCAATTTTATACATATTGTATACATATAAGGATGTATACATATTAGGAGTTAATACAATTTAAAATAATTGCCTCAGTTGTTACATAAACTTGCCTATTAAAATAACCCTATAGCCTATTAACTCTTGGTAATACCTATACAGAAAATTTAAGTAATTTTTTTTCAATTAAACGTTTATTTAATAAACCTGGCGGGTAATTAGACTTGCTCGACATTATGAAAATAAAACCAACCGCAAATCTGGCTGGAAAAGGCCATTTGAATATTTTAGAAAACTCCACGTCTCGTTCCTAAATCGCTCAGGCCTTTAAATTACGGGCGGCCGACCCTCATCGAATCGATTTGAATTATTAATTGCCAGGCATATTTTTCACGAACTCCATCGCCAGCCGGCTCCTTTCGCTTCGCATTGTTTTCCAGTTCCCTTCTTAGCGATTTATGCTCTGATTGAATTTAGATGTACGTGCTCTTCAACCTAATTAACTCGCAGCTGATTCTCGAGAATCCACTCATAACCAGCCAAACAGGAGTTTAGTAACTTACTTAACTTACTTTGACAATTTTCACGGCTCTCAGCGGCGTAGTTAACAATAAACATGGACAAAGTTAATTCTCCAATTAAAGTATATTTTATTGGACATTGTTTCTATAGTATACAAGTACTCGAGTTATTTACTATGGTGTTGTAGACTGCGGTATTCATTTGGGTACAGTGCTTAAACTTCTGTTTGTTATTGTTTGGGGACCATTCATTAATGGATTGTAATCGTTAAGAGAAGGGTCTCTTGTGTTATAATAAAAAAAATGTAAAAGCATATTATTCTCGTCGTCTGGAATACGGATGCGGTACGAATACAATTCAGTCATGACCCTTCTAATGCCAGCTGATCTTCAGGTCTCAAGGGCTTAGCGTATAATCTGGGAGGATGTGCTCCAGACGTTGACGTACATTTCTTTAACGTCCCAAATCAGATAGGTTTTATTAGCTGGAAAATTAAACGAATGATCTAATTGCCCCATAAATAGCATCTTCGTAAATGGGATTCATTTAATTTTCTTTCTCGTGTGTTATATTTTTGTGATTATGTGATCAGTTTCCATAAATCACTTGCCTTCAATACAAATATGAAAATTTATTTGTTTTCAATACACAAACATTAAAAAGATTTAATTCATTTGGTTTGATTATGAATATTACATTGTAATTAACAAATGTATTAAGCTACCTCTTTGTTACATTCAATTATGGGTAAACCGCTTTTAATAGAAACGAAGGTTTGGTATTCAGTGGCACGTGTTAACTAGATTTATTGGGACAGCAGAGCCCTAAAAGTTTGCTATTTTGTACGAAAACCACCAATCGATATATCGGAACTTGAGGAAGCGTCTAATTAAATACTCCAGTTTAGTTCCTAAAAATACAGCCGATATGATTGGAAGATATTTTAATGTTATCTCAAAGGTATTATAGAAAATTAAATGTATGTTGTCAACTAATATTTCTTATGAATAATTTATTTTTATTGGATAATAAGCTAATGATTTGATTTAATTTTTGATAAAAAACTTTCAAGCAGTGTCAGTTGTTTATTCAGGATTATTGTCGAGTCGAACGAAGGTGGGTTATTATGGGGCCAGGATTTACCCTTCTTCGTATAATACCTGACAAATCCATATGGGACGGTAAGGAAACAAGGCAAAATTTTGAAACGAAGGGATCTGATATTATATTTACTTTGTATTCGTCACGTTTCACTGGCAATGCGAAGCTTTTTCGTCGAGAGGGATGGTGAATTTTTCGAAAGAAATTTGTTTTTTTCGGTTTGGTGTCACTATTCAAGTGGATAAAATATATTTATAATTCTACATATACCATCTATTTCCTCATATATCGTGAAAAACCTTGTATTCAAAAACCGAGTAACACGCACATGTAATATCGTATTACTTTTGTTTGATTAGATGAAGCTGGAGAGGATTTCATTTTCCAATTCTTGTTGTTCTGAACGTTAACTGATTTAGTTTGCATTGAAAGATCAAAATTCTGTTTACCGTAGCAGGAGCAAATTAATTAGAACAAACTTATAATTGATATGAATGCTTTGAACATGTATTGGTACAATTTAAATTTCAGAATTTAAGTAAGTAGGTATGATTTATAGTAAACTATTAATACATGTATGTACATATTGGTTTATTCAAACAATACCCATTACACAAGTTGGCTCTAAATATACGCCATTTAAATCATATTTGAAATATTAAGGAAATTAATTATAGCATTTAATCAATTAAACTTTATGGACGAACCGGCAATAATAACGTTTTTGCTTGAATAGAGACCCGAACTTTCGATGGAATACAGCCAAAAACTAGAGGTTGTTGCTCCGATAATGATTTCATCAGCTTTCTTCGGCGTGGAATCGAATTGAAATGAGATTTGAACTGAACCCAACTTTTTAGCAAAATGATAATAAACAGAAATAAATGCAATACAATTATCATTTTAAAATATTTAGAAACCTGTATAATAATTGTATAATTTACATTATTTCGAAATTTGTATTAATAAAAATAATTTACAAACCAATTTAAGTTAAAATTCTGAACATAAACGGAGGACATTTTCTGGAACATAAAAGGCCTAACCTTTCTTTAATTTGGTTTTGCCTCAATAAATTACTGAATAAGGCTGAAATAATCTCCTACGAAATATCTTTTCGCGAGAAGTGCCGGGAACACCGTTCACTTCCTGAAACTTAGTTTGCTTGTTATAAGTCCAAGGATTTTTTTGGATGTACTCCATTGAACTTTGAAACTTTCCACATTTTCGGGCCGTAGCGGGTAGAAGAAAGTCGTTAGCACTTATTTTTTCAGCTTCCACTGCTCTTGCTGCGAAGTGATAAAAAATACTTTCTGCCCGAATGGATGATTATACTAGAAATTTTAATTTAGAATTAAATCGATTAATTTAACAAAGCAAAACACTTTTACGCATTGTAATTAATAGAGTAATTAAACGGTAAGATTAATTTCGTAAAGAAAATTATAATGGGTACATGGAAAAGGCAGATGAGGTATCTAAAAGTAGGAGAAGACCAAATTGAAAAATAACACCGTAGGCGTTTGATTTAAGAAGGAAAATGATATTTTAGGTGGTTTTATGTCCAGCAATAAATCGTATTTTAGAATTTCCCATTTTAACGTTTCCTTTGTGAAAAGGGCATTAAATGGTTTTCACGATAAGATTTAAGATTCTGTACAAGAGTTTTGCGGGTGTATTTATATTTACAGCGAATGCAGTCATAAAGACAGGAAATATTCAATTTGTATGTTTCCATTTTGTGGCAAAAGAGAATACTCAACTTTCTGAAATTGTTTCATTAATCTATCATTAATCTACAGATTATGTAGGAGCATGCATCGTAATCTGAAATAATTTCAGTTCTGACCTTATGTGATCATTGCTTTTAAATCGAGCAGCGCATTTACATTTTTAACGTTTTATGCATTCCCATTATTCAAAAATCTCCAACAGCACGCTCGTACCTAGTACAAAGACTTAAAATTATATGAAAAGAGCGAAAGAATTCTATGTGCTTTAAAAATTCCATTACTTTTCTGCACTTTTCCTAGAAATAAAACAAAAAATGAAACGCTCATGGAACTTTATACCAGAAAATTTTTGAATGATTCTACTTCAGCGAAATTTGCTCAATGGAGTAATTCCTGTAATTAAAAAAGTGTAATACCTTCTCCCAGAAAAGTAGAGTGGATTTTAAATAGGTGCAATTAAATGTTGTTGAACTAATTTTTTCTCTTAAAAAATTAATAGCCGACACTTTTTCTAAAAATTCAAATACCCAATGAAGTACCTATAAATATTTCAAATAATCTATTAATAACTGATTGTGTATTGTTAGTAATGTGAACATTTTGTATAAAGCTATTAATTAGTAGTAATTATGGTTATCGAATCATTCGAGTGAAATAGTGCATTAATGATGCGAACATTGATTCGGGAATAATTCTCCTGATATCGAAAATTCGCACATTTATCATTGTAACTTATGATATATCTACAGGCAACAAACATTTTCATTTGCACTCGTACATACGTCCACTGTAGCTTTATTTATTCGTTATCGACGTGACCAAACAACATAAAGCAGGAAGAAGCTACCGATTTATTTCAATTATAGATCGACTCGGTCCCCAGGCATTACCCAAAGGCCAAAACATCTGTTTGGGTCACATAAGTGATATTAAAAGCTTTGCATTTATCTAGGTTCTTGCTAAAGAATGATATTTTTGTGAATAAGTCAATCGCTGAATTTTTGAATACGTTGCGGAAGATTTTTCAGCGAAAAACATACGTTTTTCCGACTAAGATCGATAAGGAAATGTTATTGCTTTTCAAATACCTGCTAGCCCATGTAACGAATTTAAAACAATCTCCAGCTGAATCGGTAACGCGAAAATTTCTGCACAATTATTATTTCATCCGAGTGGCCGAATTCTCACACATCTCGACATTCATCTGAAAATTTTTCAATTTCGCGAAAATTGAAAACGAGCAAAAAGCGGAATGGCATTTAATAAAATTTCCGCGACAGCTGTTTTGGTCGGGGATATCGTCAGCAGGCGCACCTACTCGCCGGCTAATTAGGTTTCAAAATTGGAAATTTGAAATAAATATTTACCGACAACTCGAAAAGTAGTAAAGGTGCAGTTCAAAAGGGTCTGCGGAAAGCATTATTAAAAAAAGTTACTTAGTTTCTTAGCAGCTAAGGTATACGACTATAAAAAATAAAATACTAACCCATTTTTCAACACCTTCCCGTGCTATCACATACTAACACGAGAACATGCAGGAAAAATTTTGCTGATTTTTTACGACTTTCGGTAATAAAATGCATACAGTATGTACGAACTGATCCGCTGCAAGCATATAATGAGAATAATGAGATAGCTAATTTAACTTTTGCTATGTAAGGAATAAAGAGAACATACGAAATAGTCACGCCCGCTATCCCCGCTATTCGCTAGTGGACGAAGCGAAGCGAATTGACGAATTCTAATATCGGCCGGCAACCGATAAACAAGTTTCTGTTCTTTACTATCTTATAGTATTGATTGAGATTCTAATTCTAATGCTTGCAGCGGAAGAATTCGTACACTCTGTATAGAAGCTTGAAGCGTGTAATGCTTCGTCCCAAATATATTGCTTCCATTATGGTTTTCCTGGAGTAGTCCGTTCCAATAATATTCCCAGGCTAACGCTCCGCCAAAATAAATGCTGCAATCATTCAAAACTTAAGTGGCTTCATTCCCGAATGAGTCCGTCTTCGTCAAATTTGAGTGATAAGAACAATCTACTTAGGATGAAATAATAACATCAGGCGTATAAAAGGATAATAAACCTTTACGATTTTTTTTATACTTCGCGTTAGGCGACTACGTTGGTATTGTTTATCAGTCCTTCGAATGTGGTAATTTAATGATTTAATTGTTCATTATTATTCTTCTTTTCAGATCAAGGATGGTGGCCGGCCCTTTCGCAGAGTATCGATCTGAAAATCAGGGAAATCGGTGTGATTCCTCGGTATTTTTTCAGCATCAACAGTCACATTACTCGACAAAGACTCGAGAAAAAGTTAAGTGTGCTAAGAAGAATTCCTTGCCACGGTAAGTAGAATGAAACTTATCAAGTTGATGAAACATATCGAACTTCAACAACTTTAGTATTAGTAACTTTTAAAAATTATCATGACATAATTTTCTAACAGAGCAGTAATAATCCGAAAGAAAAATTCATTAATCTTCTACTTATTTAATTAGCCTGGATTTTTGAATCATACTTTTATGGCACTTGGCCTCTTAGCTTTTTCTACGTATTGTATTCTAATGTAAAAATTTAATATGCGTACTTTTTGCAAATTAGATCCGTTCTTTTCCCTTACCCTTTAACAAGAACATCAGCAGAAACGAAAAGAGCAAAAGATAAAAGCGGACAAAGAACTAACTTAATTATAATTATGATATTATGGCAGAAAAGGAAAATGGATCCACTGACTTTGATGCTATTTAACGAGGAAATGGAATTACATAAGAATTTTTTGACGCATCGTTAGATTTTGAAACGTTTTGTAACTCAGTAGGCTTATTGAATATAACGCAAATTTATTGTGATTAGAATGTCTTTGAAGCAATTTATTTGCGTTAGCTCAATTTGTTGCATTGAAAACCTTTAAAATGCTTTAACAGTTAACGAAATATTGCCCTTTTGTATAGTTTTTTTGAACAAAATTTATCTCAAATATAAAACGGTAATACTTCAAAAATTACTGTGATCTCGCAATAATCTATATAAACTTCGTCAATAAAAATTCGAGATTTTATGTATCAAAATTTCTCCAAATTGAATTTTCTAACGCACACTGTTTTTGTTTTATAGACCACAAACTGTCCACCCTATTTTAGTATGTATTATTTAGCCAGCGCTTAAAGTATATTAAAAGCACATGCGGCTGCCTCAAAATATATCAAGAGCCTTTAAAGTGCCGTTTTATGCTGCAATTTACTTTAGAAATGACTTTCAGTTCCTCCTCAAGTACACAAAGCTTTTGTCGCTAAACAACGCAAGTTATAGACTCTGTATATACATTTTTTGCAGCCCTATTGATTAGGTAGTTTTTGCTGTAGACTGATTGTTATCGAACTTGTTATATTGAGTTGTTTTCGTGAAGGGAAGCGGATCCGTCTATATAAAGGACGAAAAAAGCCTGAACAAAACAAGACCATTTTTGAAGTATTAGAGAATCGGTGTTTGCCTTAATCTTTTTTCTTGTTTCTACAATTCTCTCAAGTGCTCTTCAAGCGTCAATAACTGCACGAATTTTGGTTACCTTCTAATAAAATTACTAATAATTAGTTTATAAAATTAATAATCGTTCGTTTTTTAGCTGTACTTCTATGTATGCCATCGGATGAATTCGGAAAAACGATTTTAGAAGTTCTAAACAATCTGGAGCTTCACGCTTTCGACACAATCACCGTCTTCATAGACATTTCTAACTTGCCAGACTGGATGAGTTTTTTCCACAACGTTACGACACTACTGGAAGCAGCCGACACCGGCCAAGGAAATATCACCGTTTTTACCAAAAGGAACGCGCTAATTTTCGCGGAAAACTCGACGGCTCGTTCAAGCTCGGAAACTTCTATCGTGCACCGGTTGCAATTAACGCTTTCCCAAAGTGATAATTACGTTGAATTCGTTTTAGGTGATTTCGCGAGCGACGAATCATTGCGGCCTCTGATGGTGCTTACCGGCAACGGTTCGGATGAATTTTTTATCGATAAATTCCGCACGAATCTCGAAGAATGGTCGGTGAGACACAAGCAAATCGAAGAGTGCGAAAATTGCTCGGGGACCATTGAGAAAGTTATGAGCGTGATTATCATCATAGGCTGTTCGTGCGTGTTCGTCTCTTTGATTTTGGGCGTCGTTGTTTTCGCGCGGAATCAGTTGATGAAGAAGCGGGTGTCGAAAGGGCCGTACAAAGTGTTGTTAACCGCGACCGATTTCGTTTTCCCCCAAATCGCTGACAGCCGTAGGGTGAGTATAACAGTAGGTATTATTTTAGATATAGGTGTTGTGCGCAGCATGGTTGTTTCTTTGAATAACTTCTTGTATACATATTTCTGTCTTAAATCGTCCATTCACGATTACACAAAACTAAACAAACAGACCAGCTTGAAAACGGGAATGAAGATTGTAATCTCGTTTCCCTTTCTTAAGCCTTATACAAAGAAAAACAATAGACACAATCATATTCTAATTTTCAATCTAAGTACAATGTTATAGCACAACCAATAACCCCTATCCTTTTATAGAAAATTCAAAAAACGATATAGAACAAACATTTACATTCTTTTTTAATTAATGTTTGGTCTGTTAAACTTCCCATACCTATATGTATCAATCAGATGGCTAAAAAGTTTGATACCTATTTGAATACACACTGTGCTATCGGCGGACCGGTCGACAATAACGAATTGTGCAATTAAAACTGTTTTCCCATTTGGCTTTCCATCCACTGGTTGCTGACGCAATATTTTTGCAAAATCCCTTTTTTACTTCGTGTAATGTTTTCTCAAAATAAAACGTTTAATGACATTGTTTGTACTAACCGTTGGGTAAATGGAAAATTGTTTATCTTCCTGTCAATTCTGATATAACGGCTAGTCGATAGGATTATGGAAGAGAATGTGCTTTAGTCGGGTTTATGTTTGAATTTAATTATTTTTCTATTTATAGAAGAATTATGAAAAATGGTGATTGTGGAAGTAAAGGATGTAAGCAGATACTGGTGTTTTGCTCATTATTGATGATTCATTTGACATGTAATCCATTTTATACTCAAAGAAATGGTAAAATACTCAACTTATGGTAAAAATTTGCCAAACTATCGTTTTGAAAATGCATTGCTAACATGAATTATTATTCTCTTTGTATATGAGACAGTATCTCTAATTATTCCGACCAAAATTATTATGGTAACAAGGTTGAGTATAATATGCAGATGCGAAATTAAATTTATTAACACTCAATTTGTAGTAGAGAATTTTAATGGGATGTATGTTAATTAACTTATATCCGTATAATCTAGTTTAATTCGTTCCTCTCAAATCTTAGATTTAATTTAATTAGACATCCATGGAAATCATGACGTGGCGCAATTATTTATGATTGTGAACTTTTAAGAAATTTGATTTATTATCTTTTATTTTGGATTTTATATGTTTTTTCTTTGGCTTCTCTTCTCGCATGTTTTGGAAATCTCTTGATATACGAGCATTCATCTATCACTAATTATGTAAACGAAAGCCATTTTCCTGTATCATTTATCTTGTTCTTTCGTCTCTTCTTCGTGTAAATTCATTATCTCCAAGTATTTGTAATTATAATGTCACAATCCCCTTTATTTATTTTTCGTTGTTAACTTTGTTTTATTTGACGGTAATTCATTTTGATGCCTTTCTGTCTTTCTGTAACTAATTTTCTTTTAAATTGATTCTAATTGTGAGCCTTTTCGATTTGTAATGAATGAATCGTTTCTAACAATAAAATATAATTAAAGAAAAGTAATGAATGTTATACTTATGAAATCATTTAATTAAACCTTTACATTTATTCATGCTTATAAACTATACAATTTAACTTGTAATTATTACATTTCAGATAAATATCACACAATGTCATAAATCACTAACGATTAACACCGATTTATGAGGCACTTTCCTTACGCGTAATATTGATGGATAATCTTCATTATTCAGTTGATAGTCTCTATCATACCAATTACTGTACACTCCATTTTGATTGATAATCGTTGAGAATAAATTGTACTGATCTTGTTGTCGATGGCAGAACTGGATTTGCTAGTTCATTAAATAGAAGTACTTTCCCTAACAACGGGGTTGAAGTTCCAATAAATTTATTCTATGTATAGTAAAATTAATTGTTGTTTAAACATACACCAATTGCCGATAAAGCGAATAATACTTGTTATAAATATGTGCAATAAATAATATGACAAAGAAATTACATTTTAATTTTGTTTTGTTCGATTGGCATATTATCTATTTATAATATGTAGGTATTTATTTGACGTCAACTGGTAGAATAAAATCGAATATAATTAATTATTTAACTTTAATGAATACGTGGTTAATGGTTGTGATGGTAACGAATAATGTGAACTTTCAAAAAGCCATTCCAGATGAATCGCATATCACCTAAATTCTTCTTTCTAACTATAACAATTTCGATTCTTTTATATGTTTATAAAAATATAAGAAATAAGAGAGAGGATTTCAAAAAAACACATTTTATAGAATTGTTACACTTTTGAAATATTCTAAAAGTAATAAAATAAAGTTAAAAGTACTCTCTCATATTTTTTTTTAATATTTACTCATTGATAATTTGTTTTATTAACTTTCCTTCTGTTAATGTTTCGATAGGTCGATGAAGGCATTGAAGCAATGCTCTGCTGTTGGTTGCAGCAATTACAAGAATTCGGTGGACCAGAAGTAGAAAAGCCTGATTTGTTACAGGGATCCGGAACCACTTCCATGCGAACGCCAGCTCGAACGGGCTCCAGTCCCAATTTAGCCAAACAGCTAATCGTCGATCCTAGAGTACGGTATAATGTGCGTAAACATTCTATTTTATTGTAGACATTTTCTGCATCCCCATACGAAATTACCTGGTCTAATTTAGAGCCTTCCCGTTAACTCTTTCCAGGGCGATCTCGTCCAAATGAAACCACTTCCGCTGATGGGAAGCGGTAGCGAGCTTAAGGGCAAATCCGTCGAACTCCTCGTACTATTGCATGGATTACGGCATGAAAACTTAAACCCACTCATCGGGTGCTTGGCGGAGCCTCCGAGGGCCGCGCTCGTCTCCGAATACTGCGCCAGAGGATCCTTGCAGGATGTACTGCAACAGGACGACATTAAGCTCGATTGGTCTTTTCGCCTCAGCCTACTCACGGACCTTGTTAGGGTAAGTGTTACGAGGCGAATTTTATCTGGATAAAAATAATTCCAACTGCGTGAAATAACAATGCCCCAATATCAGACGTATATCTAGAATGTAGTAATTATAAATATTTTTAATGATTCATCTTATCCTAGACTACTCGTACAAGTCGTGAATAATTACTTTCGTTCATTAGTTTTGATGAGCGTTTTTGCGACGAAGTAATATTAATTATTCGTTTCGTGTGGAGATTAAATCACCTTTAATTTTCTATTTTAATTAACCAATTTTACCGTATACACTGAAAAAATTTTGGTACATAATATCAATGAACACCATGTTTTCAACTTGTTTTCATTAGCTCAATAAAATAATACATTAATCCAATAAATTTTCATTCATTAGTTAATGAATTCATTTATTAACTCAATGTTTCTTGTAACATTAATTATTAATGTAAAATTTCATTAACTCAATAACAATTTTTATTAATTCAATGAAATTTAATCATTAATATAATAACCTAGTACATTAAAAGCGAATATTTCAGTTAATGTATTCGATACATTAAATCAAAGTAACTTGTACATTAATATAACGAATTGTTCATTCTTTTAATGAAATTTAATTATTGAACCAAAAACATTAATACATTAGTTCGATAAACCACATTCGTCATTTTTTATGTTGCCCGTACATTGATTCAACAAATTGAGTACATAAATCCTATGTTCGAGTTCATTGAGCCAATGAACGCATATACATCATTAGTTCGATAAAATACATTCGGCATTTTTAATGTTGCCCGTACATTGATTCAACAAATCTAATACATAAATTCTATGTTCGAGTTCATTGAGACAATGAATGCATATACATTGGTTCGATAAACCACATTCGCAATTTTTTATGTAGCCCGTACATTGATTCAACAAACTGGATACGTAAATTCTTGTCTCGAGTTCATTGAGTTAATGAACGCTTTTCATTAAGTCAATGAATATCAGTTTGGATTTTGGCAATACACACTAGAGTGCAAATCTATGCCGTTCTATTCTATTAGAAAAAAAGAAATAGATAGAGACGCTTTCGAAAATCGCGTTGACCGTTAATTACCCCTCTTTCTCTCCTGTTATTTCGTGTTGAAGCGTTGAACTGGAAGTGTTCTGTTTAGTTAATTTCGTTTTCGTTTTGTATTATAAGAAGGAAGAAAATTCAAGCGCTGTTGTTTTAAGAGGTAAGCATTTTTTAATTCGGTACACTATAGGTTAATACTTATACATTTTATTTCTAGGATTTAATTTTAAACACAAACGTAAAGCCTAAGGGAGATATAAGTGCAACAACTTCAAGATTCATACAAAATGTGTGTAAGTTTTTATGGTTTTTACTACAACTCATTAAATTATTGGATATATTAAATTTTTAGGCCCCAAAGACATTTGTGAAACGTGCATAAGACTTCTGAAGTTTGAAAATTTATCATCGGAAGAGTTCGACGTATGCAGCATGTATTGGAACTTCGCTTGAGTGACATAAAAAACGCACAAAAATTCAGATGATAAAATGAACTTATTACAAACGACCATCTGGATATAGCTTGGTGAGTACCTTCAATAGTATACCTACCTATACACCGTGCTTCATTCGCGATTGCAACATGAGCATTTCTATGAGTTGAACAAAGAAATATTAGTAAAATAACAGTTGTCAGAGTGAAAAGTTGCAATGACATAATATCATACTGTTTCTTTTTCCTTTACAAGTGTCTAATTGAAGTTATCTTTGTTGCACCCATAGCCTATGTTGCAATCTATATACTTACTGGATATGTAGATAGGAATTTACAGTCTACTATATTAACCCATATTTTTTTTTAGATCGATATGGATTTCGCCCCAGCGTATGATGCAAAGAATTTTATGAAATAATTCGAAAAATATTCTTCGAAGATTGACCAGTTTCTTCTAGCAATAATACAAAAAATGTAAATTCGTTAATTTAATAAATCAAATTCATTAATTCAATGTACTGCGTTCATTAATTCAAAAGCTAAAATTCCTTAATTCAATAAAAGAAATTCATTAAACCAAGATCTAAGTTTCATTGATTCTATGAAAGCATTTCATTGATTCTATGAAAGCATTTCATTGAATCAATGTACTACATTTATTAGAAAAAATCTAAAATTTGTTGAATCAGTGTACACCGTTCATTAAACCAATGTAAAATATTACATTGAATTAATGTACTTCTTTATTGGGTCAGCAACTTTAATTCATCGAAACAATGATTTTCATTTCATCATATCAACGAATTATACATCACTTAATGTACCTCTTCATCGCTTAATGAACAAACGTTCATTGATTTAATGAAATCGTTTATTGGACGACTTTTAATGTAAAAATTTCTTGGATTAATGTATTTTTTCATTATCTGCACGTACTTTTTTGGTTCAGTGTATGCCTGCGTATTACCCCGGAGATTCGCTTCATACTTTAATATTGCTCGGGGATCAAACGTAATAAGGGTTGGACAAGACTGGTAGTATTCACAATAATCTCTGCCTCATCCTCTCAGGAATGAAAGGATTGCTGTAGCCAGACATACCAGCCACAAAACTATTCCGCCTGTCGCCTAATATAAGCTATTGGTATAATTTTACGTTTATAAAGTATGTGCATGACACAGAATTTCTGTAAAGTGCCTTTTAAATACAGAGGCCAGATGAAATCTTCACGCTGTAATAATGTTTCTCAACCAAATTTGACTATAAATAATATAGATAGTACTCGTTATTGATGTTTTATAGATTTTTAATATTGATTTCAGGGCATGAAATATCTCCATTCTACTCCAATAAAGGTGCACGGTTTGTTAACGTCGAGGAATTGTGTCATAGATGCCCGATGGGTTCTCAAAGTGACTGATTATGGACTTCCAGCCTTTTACGAAGCACAGGGTATACAGGCTCCTGCAAAGACAGCAAGAGGTGAGTTTAAGATTCTCGTCAAGGAAGAATAATGTCGCGTAATTACTTTCTTTGAGCATATTTAAAGAGGAAAATATGAGCTTTCGCTTCTTACGAAAGGAAACAGTTTTTTACGCATTTTTCTAACGCCGAAATTCTCTTTTCCCTGAAATATTCTGGGTGTTCCAAAAGGACATGCTAATATTTAAGGGGGTGATACCTTGGATGCATTTTAATGAAAAAACTTGCTAAAGTTTTAAGAAAAAAATCAATTTTTTGTTATAACTATGATACTATCTTTATGAAATTTTACACACACCCCTTCTATGAATCAAGATGAATTTTCTGATGTACAAACAATTTCATTATTTTCAGCAATGGCGCCCGTACGGGTTTACCGCTACACAGCCGCTGTGGTAAAATTAAAAAAAAAATAAATTTTAGGTTTAGAACAAATGTTCATATGAAGTTTTTTTCTTCAATATTTCTTAAATATTAGCATGTTATTATGGAACACTCTGTGTATTCGTACTTTTCATTTATTGCTTTTCTCGTTATTAATTTTTGACTTAAATAACGATTAATTGCAAGGAATAAGCAGTAATAACGATTTATATCGCCATTTGTTTTTACCAGAACCTCCTCTACCGGACATTTAAATTTATTATCATGTAAAAACGCCATGAAAAGGCAAATTGGACATTTTCCAAAAATTGTTCCGAACCATTTAGAAGTTTATGTCGTAACAAGTGGTAAGAATTTTATCGATACATTGACGAGTTGAAATCGCATTCCAAATTCAACAGATTCCCGGTGTAATAGCGAATGAATTCGATGTAATATTTTTAAATATTTCTCACCCAGCATTAGCCATTCAGGTAATTCGTTGTAATTAAAAAATAAAAGGTACTGAAATTCAGAGTGTACAAATTAACAAACTCGGCACATTTGCCACCGGTAGAATCAGGCATTCTCGCATACACTTTTTTGAGCGTATATTCCAAATAAAAAGCTGACACGGTGATATGCTTAATTAAAAGGATTTTCCATATGCATCAAAGAGCAGTATTCGATGAAACAATGAGAGCTAGTACGCCTCGAAACAGCTGCTTTCATTTTGCGTTTCTTTCTCTGCTCTACAGAATATTAAAAAATATGCCAATGAAGCTTCCTGCTGGGATTCTGTATTAAAACGCCGCCAAAGGTAATTTTCAAGCAAAAGATTAGTGCAAACTAACATAAAAAAATCATGCAACAAATACTGATACTTACAGAGTCGTACTTATAATTTGCGTTACCCACTCATTTGGGAATAGTTTTATAATTTTGGGAATTATTATTCTTAAGTATAACTACTCTCAACCCTTCCGTTAGGTACCACACGTCTCTGCAACTCAACCGGCTCTAACAGTAATTAGTGATTAAAACATTTTGGATTTAATTAAATAGTTGTATATCCGTTTTGCAGTATTTAAGTCCCCTGGATTCAAAGCATTTACCCCCCGTCAGACCTCAAACATTAACACCAACGTTCTTGGGAGGAAACAATTAATTGAAAGAGAAATTCACGATTTAATGGTTGAAGTTCGCGCAATAGTAATATGAGGAAATCGCGTAGGATCATGCTCGTCTCTTCGGAGCAGCTGTATTTAGTTATTTTATGCGAAATATGTGACGTGTTGGTGGTAGGAAAGCATTTTCTTGTTGTGTGCGAATGTGGGAATAAATTAAGTTTCATGTCGCATGGGACACAATCTGCTTCACGTATTTTAGTTGAATAATGATTCGGGTTTGAATAAGTTATAATTTTTCCTAGTATGGCTGGAACAAGTAGATAATTGCATTAAAACTTTCTCATCGGACGTTAATGGAGTAATTGAATACCTATCAGGAAGTGCATCAGTCGAGCTTGAATATCCGATTCCAACTTTCAATGCATTCCTCGTATAATTAAACATAATTAATAAAGTTTTCAAATGGTTAAATATTATTTTCATGAGTTAGATACGTGCATACTTTTAGGTGCTTCTCTAACAAAACTATTTTGATTTCGTTATAATTTCAGGTAAAGTTTACCCAATCTCTGGTTTGTTCGAAGGAGCTTCCTGCATAATTAATTTTAGTTACCATTGCTAAGTTTACCGTTTCATTTCTAAAAACTGCCAACAGTTATTCCATTAATTTACTTAATCTCAGACATTGGTTTCTTAATGAAAATTAATAGGTACCTTACAGGTAATTATTTTCGTAGGTATAGTAATTAAATAATGGATTAGAAATCCAGTGTTATTAACCATTTAATTTTTCTACCCTTAATCCCCAGCATGAAGCGCTGAAGACTAAAGTTAAAAAAGCTGGACGGGATCATTAATCTCAATTTGAAATATAATATGACAACCTCCATCTTCGCGAATCGGGAGGAAGTTATAAACATGTAACATGGTCGAGTGCTTATAACTTTTTTGATGAAGCTTTTTGATCGAACGATTCAGTTTTTAGTTACTACGGCCCGTATTCAGCGCCCTACTTTTGACTTAAATGGCTCTAAAGAATCACTTTAACGTAAACAAAGTCTCTAGTTACCACTCCATATCTGCAATGTACAACTGTCCAGTTAGAGACGCGTTTTTAAAATCGTGTTTAAGGTTAAAGTGAGGTGCTGAATACGGGCCATGTGTTTTTATCAAACTTTAATTATTACCTACCTTTGTTTTCGTAGTAGACAAGAAAATAAATAACAGCTACCATATGCTGAAATAAATACGAAAGACGTATACTATTAGACTTATTTTTCAGTAAATGTAAACTGATTTGCTTTTTACTGTTTTGCTTCTTATAAGAATACAAATTCAGTTAAACTGTGCGATGTTTAACCAAACGGGTCCGTTCATGTTTTATGTATGAAAACCAAGCCACAGAAACCCAGAAGGATTCCGTGGGCTTACTAATACATTGTTTATGACCCCTTCTTGCAGATTTAGGTGTGAGCTTTTACTTATTCCGAAATGTTGAGGAAAATCTCTACACTATGTCCCATATGTCGCATGAGAAATTATTTCAATCCAACGTTTAAGTATCGTTTAGATGTTTGCAAATTAAATTGCTGTACATTATTGTGTAAAGAAAGGTTTATTCAATTTAAGTTCTATTCAATATTTTTTCAAATTTAATAAATTATTACTTTAATTTGCCAGGATCGGTTTACTCGCTAACATAATTTATCCAGACTTTCTCAAGCTTCAATAATATATGTTACCTACGTTAAGTACCTAATGTTTTTTAGCGGATTTTTATATGGAATGTACTTATATGAAAGTGAACAATACGAATTGTATATATGTGTTATATATTATTATGTTTTATGCATGTCACCGTATGCATATCGACACAATGGGTTACATTGAAAATGCATGCAGTTAACACACAATGTCAATTTAGATTTCCATATTTGCCGCCACAATATGTTGCATTTAATTCTAAATTACATAATATATGCGAATATATTTCGTATTACTCGTCATTGACATACCTTCGTTAATTTTAGAGAAATGTATTGAGTTCCGTACAATTCTAGTTACCAGTATTGTAATTATTATTACCTATTTGTTCCTCGTCAAAATACGAGAACAATATAGAAACTAATTGCTGGTGTTAAGTAGGAGAATATAAAAAATAGCCTAATAAATAATTTATAGCATGTGGATACTAATTAATTAATGAATTGCACTATTACACCTGCTTCTCCTTTAGTTTGGCACTTTCGTTGTTCTTGCAGATTAATGGATTTAATTTCTATCGAACACTTCGAGATTTTTCATGCAAATCACGCCCTTTTTAATAAAAGCAATCTTTGTTTTCCTGTTTTGAAAAATCTCCGCTTTCATTTTAAATTTGCCCCATTTAGCCTCACGCCTTACGGTCGTCGTTTTGGCATCGACAAATTGCGGTTATTAATCATCTTTCTGCTTAGTCAGCAGCTAATTACATCATAAATATATTAATGATAACAAGGGCGTAACTGTAGGGACTTAAGAATGTCTATCTATTAATATATTACACAGATTCTCGGTCATTAAAATGCTTTATGTATTATAAATTACTTTAGTAGTGTCTTAAGTTAATAACGTAGGTGTAATAAGAAAGCTTGCTTCATTTACAAGTGAAGAAGTAATATTTTAGAAAATATCGTATTTGTTTCAGAGCTTTTGTGGACATCACCTGAATTGTTAAGACACGGCAGTTTGAGAAAAAAAGGAACGCAACCAGGTGATGTGTATTCCTTTGGTATTATATTGCAAGAAGTTGTTGTCAGAGGAGAACCATTTTGCATGCTGGCGCTGACACCCGAAGGTAGGTTTTTCCGGATAAGTAAAATAAATAAATTCAACTAAAATATTCACTGCAAAGGTTTCGCTTTAGATTGAATTTTTTTGCAGTATTTTTGCTTATTTTTCGACGTATAAAAATTTATATCGAACGTGACCTTAACAAATACGCCAAATCACCAAACTTTTACGTTGACTATTTTTCCTCCAAACTACATATTACACCGCAATATTTCAATCTCAATACCTCAAAATTCCATTCTGACCCATAAAATTCCGCTGACATATCCTAACCCAATATACATTTCCCAGACATCAATTCCAGATAGAAAAGAAAATATCGGACCTGTCGAAGGCAGCATATCCAATTTTTTCCCTAATATGAACAAAGAGTACGTATTTATTCCGAATTCGAAATTCGAACATGCTCTCTTTATTATACAGAAATAATACTCTTTAAATAAATCAGCCATAACACGACAAGATATAGTATACAATCCTATTGAAATATCTACTAGAATTTTTGCCAATGCCTTTTAATTGTAGAAATCATAGAGAAAGTGAAGCGTCCGCCGCCGCTAATTCGCCCTTCGGTGAGCAAAGGAGCAGCTCCGCCGGAAGCCATTAATATCATGCGCCAGTGCTGGGCCGAGCAGGCCGAAATGCGACCGGATTTCAACACCGTGCACGATCAATTCAAGAAATTGAATCACGGCAGGAAAGTTAACATCGTCGATACGATGTTCCAAATGTTGGAGAAGTATTCCAACAATTTGGAGGAGCTCATAAGGGAGCGCACGGAGCAGCTGGACATTGAAAAGAAGAAGACCGAGCAACTGTTGAATAGAATGTTGCCGAGGTGAGTTTCCAAATTTTCGTTTCTATGAAAACCGACGGGGAGGTCGAGTTAATAAAAAAGGGGATGGTTTCGTGAATTGGGCTCTTATGAACTCAAAATGGACAATATAGTTTAGAATTTGAGTGTCTGCTCTATCAACAAAAAATGTTTTATCCTTGGGATGAAGTTGAGTTAATAAAGCTTAGTTGGTCAATAATCTGAGTTCAAATTAGTTTTAAACATCCTTGCGGTGATGCCACATTTGTTCGGCGATGAGAGTAATGGCATTTACGTAATACTTACTTAAGGTTAAACTCGACTCTGTAATACCTACATAAACTTTCTAAAGAAACTTTTCGTTTTAGTTAGAGTTTAAGATGTTGTACCTATTTCTTAAGATCTACTCAAGTTACAATGAATAGTTCAGTCGTTCAACAATTGATTTAACCTATTTAAATTAAGGATACTTCCTCATAAATGTTTTATTTAACACTTCACCCAAACATTAAATTGGAATATATGGGACTTTGCACGTTTTATTTTGTCGTATATACGCGTATTAAAAGAGTTTATTATTTAATAACCGTCATATTCTTGCGATCATTTAATTTAACGTACTGAATTCCAAAATAAGGTAAGTTTAATAGACACTCAATATAAATTATAGCCTGTCGAAGGTTCGCAATTTCTTTTTTAACTGCTGAAATTATTACAAGTTTATTTCTCCGTCAATCATTATTACATTTTAAAAGCTGACACCAAACCGATTTTAATCTGTCAATAAAAATTGGTAATTTGAGCAAAAGTGAAGAGCATTTTTTACTCTTATTAAAGGGTTTATTCTCGAGAATACCGGGACCGGTATTTTTAACACGAACCTCGATATTGAATATAATCCCAATAACTTTTATATTATATTTCTCTATAAGTTTATACTCGCAACACAAACTTCTTTATTGAATTTCACCGAAACTTCACCTTTAATATCGCAACTTTCCCTCTTTAACTTTTCAATTTTGGATTTTTTCCGTTCGAGAAGTTCGCTTGAAAGGTTAAAAATATTCAGAAGCGAGACATAGGTGTAATCTCGTATAATCCCGGCTGGAAGCTAAGAAGCTTCGTAAATCCGGTATATTGGAAAATTTAGCGCTTTCGTTAGGGATCAGCTTCCTAAAGTTAAAACGTTAAAATGAACAAAAATAAAATAAATTTATGCAAATTGATTAATCGATATAAGCATTAAGGACGACGCTGTGCGTGTACTGGAACTCCTACGCATGCTGGAATTCTTTTCTTCTTTTGACGTTTTTTGGAATTTATTTTAGGCAAACAATGTTTTTAGCGACATAAAATTGAATTGCCCTCCACCCTATTTAAATGTCTGAATTGTCCGTATACAATTCGTTTTGTCTCTCTACTCCTGCATTTAAATTAAATATACTTACTTTTAGGTAAATATGGGCCTTCATTTTGGACAATTTCAAATACGAACGTATTTAGAACGCGTAAAATAAAAGGCATTCGCTGCTTTCGAGCGTTATTTACTACATCCGTTTTTATAGTTCGAAAGCCCTTTTATCAATTTAAGCGTATACCGCAGCGCTTTAAACGGACGGCTTTTATGAAAAGCCGCTATTAAAATTTTTGGTGAAGCCAAATGATAAAGTTTTTACCAGTTTTCACAATCCGGCAGGAAATCAGTTCAACTTTTCGTCGGTTTGGATTATAAATTATGTAATACACGCGAGAGGTGAAATTTTGTGAACAACAGTTTAATTTGAATTATGAATTAACCAATTCGATTAATAAATACAGGGGGTCCCAATGAAAAGTAGCCCCTTTTAATGAGCTTATAATTTTTAAACGCCTAATCATAAAAACATGCGGTTTTTTCAAATATGTTTTATTTTATTATAAGTTTTGTTACAGTGATACAGAAATTATGCATTACAAATACAGGGTGTTTTATCAAAATCTCCTCTTTTAAATTCACAGTAACCATTTTTTAAATGGGTTTTTAACACCCCGCACACATAGAGGTATTTTGAAATATATATACAGGTTGCTCCATTTTTGATTGCAATATAGGTTATATAGGCCATGGGTGCGATAAAGACAACTTTCATTAGACACTTACAAAGGAAAAGGAAAGAGTGACATTGTGTCATTACAACTTTTTACTCTGACAACTGTCATTTTAATAACCTTTCGTTGTTCCACTCATAGAAAAGACCATATTGTAATTGGAAATGGAGCAAGGTGTATGTTATTCTAGAAAAAAAAGATGTCCTCTTTCATAGAATTTGGTTAATGAATTTAAAAGAGGGGATTTTTATGAAACAACCTGTACAGGCGATTTAAAATTTTTGGGTCATTGTAACAAAAAGTTAAAACAAAATAAAATATATCTGCGAAAACCGCATGTTTTGATGATTGGGCGTTAAAAAATTATTAGCTTACTAAAACGGCCTCTTTACATTGGTACACCCTGTATATTAACTGTAGATATTTATTATTCTTATTTATTATAAAAAGTGCTGGATATCATTGATTTGATATGTCTTTTTTAATAGGATTCTCTCAATATTTATTCATTTTTGGAATTTCCACGATACCATTGTTATCATCAGGAATAATATTAAAATTAGCTTATCGAGAAGATCTCAAAATACAGATAACTTACAGGGTGCTTCAGTGAAAAACTAATTAGTTTTTTTAGTACTTTCTACGTACCTAAATGCCAAATAAACTATTTGCTGTTTATCCAGCATATGAAACATCCTGTAAATGAAACAGCTATTAACCAATTTTTTATAAATTTCGGTTGGCATGCTTTTCACAGCTTTACAAATTGTAAACGCTAAAATCTATATAAAAAGCGTGAAATGTTTAAAAATAATCCCGAACGACACGCGTTTTTTATAGTCAACAAATCGATAACCGCATTTTCATTCTTTCCAGTTACGTGGCCGAGAAATTAAAGCTCGGAATGCCCGTCGATCCCGAGGAATTCGAAGAAGTGACGATTTATTTTTCAGACATCGTCGGCTTCACGACGATCTCTGCCCATTCGACTCCCTTTCAGGTTGTCGATCTCCTCAACGACCTCTACACTTGCTTCGACGCCACCATTAACGCGTACAATGTATACAAAGTGGAGACAATAGGGGACGCTTACATGGTCGTCGGCGGGCTGCCGGTGAGAATTCCCGATCACGCCGAACAGGTAACACACAACTTCACAAATTTTATTAAACCCAACGAACGCTTTACCAATACTTAAAATACTCAGTGAAGTACGAATAAAAAATTCAATACAAAAATAGAAATACTCATTGAAGATGTTCATTGAAAATCACCTAATCTGCAATATATCAGCAGCATTTCTATTCATTTAAGACGGACGAGAAATCGTTCCCCTTCAGATTTCGCTTCCTTGAAAATGGAGTTACCTCCTGCTTTACCTTCATTTCTAATTAATTTTATTTCAAAGTTGGAGGACTCGGGGCGCTTAACTTTTTGATATACCCGCGTTATTAAAATATCCGACTTCTGAGCCGTTGAAGTTACGTCCGTGTCTTTAGAAAATTATACCAGATTCAATTACATTCTTTATACAGAGTTGGGCAAAAGTCCGGAATAAAATTATTATCTTTTGAACCAGTAATTTAAACAAAAAACGCCGAAACACGTAAATTGATTTTATATTGTACGGATCTGTTGCCAATAAAATGATTTTTTTTTCTTCAACCCCTTAGTTGCAACCCTACCCAACTTTATTTTTTCAAATGCAAAGGTATGTCGTGTGTAGGGTCATTGAAAAGCCCGTGAAAAATGGAATCTAAAACATACCTTTTTTTTTATTTTTCTCATGTTGTTATTTGGAAATGAGCAAAAATTTCTTTTAAAAACAAAAAAGTTACAAATACCTTTTTAGTGCTATCGACGTAGCAATGTTGAAAATGCCCTTCACCATCTACTTGACAGGCTCCCAGCCGTTGGTAAAACTTAATATCGATAGCATATCTTTAATTCTGAATGACTTTTTAATAAAAACAGGCGAACCTTTGGTAAAAAAAAACTTGTACAAAAATGCAACACCTGTTTTCCTTTTTGAAGTTCACTGATCAACAATGGCTTAGATTTAAACCCATTTTATGTTTTTGTTTTTTCTTAAAACATAAATTTCAACGAATGTTGTTGCTAAATTGCCTTATCAGTTTTAAACGGTAAATCAATAAAATTTGGTGTGCTGCCTGACCAGGCTCGCCTGCTTTTAATAAAAGTTCATTCAGAATTAAAGATAGGCTACCGTTATTAGGTTTTACCATTGCCTTGGAGCCTGTTAAGTAGAGTAAGCCTTAATTCACACGTCGATACCACTAAAAAAGTATTTGTAACATATTTGTTTTTAAAAAAATTTTTTGCTCATTTCCAAATAACAACATGAGAAAAATAAAAAAAAAAGGTATGTTTTAGATTCCATTTTTCACGGGCTTTTCAATGACCCTACACACGACATACCTTTGCATTTGAAAAAATAAAGTTGGGTAGGGTTGCAACTAAGGGGTTGAAAAAAAAAGAATCATTTTATTGGCAACAAATCCGTCCAATATAAAATCAATTTACGTGTTTCAGCGTTTTTTGTTTAAATTACTGGTTTAACAGATAATAATTTTATTCCGGACTTTTGCCCAACCCTGTATAGCTACATTTGCAGTCGCTTTCGGGTTAATCAGTTATTTAAAAAGTTTTTGATGGATGTTCGGCTTGTTAGTTAATAAATTCGCCACTTTCATTGGCATTAAAGCGATTTAAATTTATTCATGAGATTATGTGAAGTGCCACAATGGACCTCTGCTTTATAGAATATCGTTTCGGTGTTGTCGTTGTTGTTGTGCATTTAAATAGATATTAAAGTTGAGATGTCAGCTTGCTAGGAAATTTGCATTTTTAATATTCACGTGTTGTTTGTAATTTTCACCGAAGGTAAAGTAGTTTTCTGAATATTAACTTTGTTGGACATTTTTAACGTTCCATTTTTTTTATTCGCCGAGGAAGAGAGATACTTATGTATATCGAGTGGTAAGATATTTCGCCATTGCAACAAAAGCCGTTATCATTCTATTTATACATATTCTCTTTTTCTGCGAAGGCATAAAAATAAATTTAGAATCCTTCCTATTTTTCCCAGAATAATAATATTTCGCATTCGGAAGAAAAATGCCATAGAAAAATATAAGTATTTATAGGGTTATTTGTAAGCAGAAAGTCTATCAAAAGTTTTTTTGCTGTTTGGTAGAAAATAAAATTCTTTACTGACGTTTATGTAAACTGCATGCGATCATGCTGTTAAATTTTTTAACTTCTATAAAGTAGGTAGTTTATACACACACACGGGTAAATTCGAGAGTTGAAATATTTAGTTTGTAGCTGCGTTCAAAAGAGAAACTGATCAAATTTGCCAAACTCAAACAATTTTATACTATTTATATTTAAAATCAGCTGAATTTTATTCATTTGAATCAGAGAGTTTTGTCGATTTTTATGTGCTATTACAGTAATGGAAAAATAATAGATATAGTATAGAGGTTTCTTATGAAAATGACGTGCACGTCATTTTTTTCCAGAATTTTGAACCAATCGATTCTTGCTTTTTGTGGCGGACATAAGAGAAATGGTAATAGAATTCCTCAGAAAACGATAATGCCAGAAATCCGATTTGCCTTCGTTCGTCGATAAAAACTTAATTGCACTCGACAAATCTTATTTCAAACGTCTGCCAATTATTCCACATTGCAGACGGTAGAGCTATTCATCGTAAAGAATTTATAAAAGATTCTCCTTTAAATCAAATATTACTTTTTACGATTTATTGATTTTGTGGCTGTAATTTCACGGATCATTTCCAGTAAATTATTCAAACTTATCGTTTATCGATGTAGATAAGACAAAAATCATCGGCGCCCAACTGTAACGTGATTTTTTTACAGATCGCTACAATGGCTCTTGATTTGCTTTACCAAAGCGGTAGATTCTGCATCAGACATTTACCAAAGACACCCTTAAGACTGAGAATCGGGCTTCACACTGGACCATGCTGTGCAGGCGTTGTCGGACTGACAATGCCTCGGTATTGTTTGTTCGGAGACACTGTTAATACGGCTTCACGAATGGAATCAACAGGTAACTTTATACTGTTGTTAATTTTAATACTACTGCTTTAAGAAATTTCATTGCTTTGTTCCCTATGGTCCTCTAACCAGGTTTTGAACTAGTCAGGAGGTTTATAGTATCAAAATATTACTCAGAAGTTTGCATGTACTGGTAGATCATTTATTGATTCCATGTCTATTAACTGCTCTAAGTAAGTCCTCAAATTATTAAACTTTTCATTAACTTCCTGCAGCTCCAATCTTCATTAGGTTCCTCAAACATTTTTCTTACATATGGCACATTTCCTATACTATTTATAATGTAACCAACAGTGACGTGGATATTACAAAATGAAATTAATATCCGCAAGGCGCTCGTCTCGGCCAAAACGCAGACGAGGCCCGCCTTGGAGATCCAATTAGTTTTCGAAAACCTTTAAGAGATAGGATCCGTGAATAATAATAGTATTTGCTAAGCTATCTTTCTGTATCTAATATGAACTTTGACGTGAATGCGAAAGGATCGGCGTGGCGTATTCACATGTCAGAAGCAACTAAACTTCGGCTGGAAAGAGCCGGCGGCTATGAGATTGAGTATAGAGGCCCGACCGAAATAAAGGGAAAGGGTACAATGGATACTTACTGGCTATTAGGGAAAGCTGGATTTGATAAAACTCTTCCAGATCCCCCGTCTATCGAGTAAGTTGATTAATTGATAAAAATTCATTGTAATTTGTAGCAAAATTAATTTTTGTAATGCAGGATGTCACAAAATAATGTCAAAAATTATGAAGCTATTGTAAACGAAATGATATAAACAAAAGATTTTCGCAACACAGTTTTAATTTTTTTATTGTTTTGACACTTATTTGAGAGTTATTTTTTTGCATATTTATCGGGTCTGGAAGAAATTGTTAATTTTTAACCAATCAATCGGATTCTTTATTTAATAGAACATCCTGTATTTTGTTATTTAATATTTTATTGCATTCCATGAAATTTGTAGCAAATTATTAATTCCTATCATTTTTTATGCTGTCTAAAGAGAATCTCATGGGTAAGTAGACAGAATACATTATTTTTAAAGTTAATTTAGAATCGTAATGGCCATTAACGACTTGAAACCTATAAGTTTTCTGCAAGTTTCTTTAAATAATAAAAATAGGGTTTTCATGCGAATACCCAATTAATACCTTTATGGTATGGCCATTATATCCGAACAAAGTAATTTTATTAAGCAATAAATCGTAATAAAACCGTATTAAACGTTTCGAATTATCCACATAGTACAAAAATTTCGCGTATAAGTAAAACCTTTACGGCGGCTGGGTTATAAGTTATAATCTTAATGGATTAATTTTATATGAAATACCTACTATATGTCGCAATTATTCCGCTTGATAAAACTCCGAACTGAATTTAAAATCCATAACATATTATTATTGTATTCGAACAATCGAACGGATTTTGAATTGCCGCGGAATAATTTAATTTTTTATTGTTCAAAAATTGCTTTCCAATATCTAAATACAATATGATAACTCGTTTTTAAACATTATTGGTAAATGCTTTATGCAGACCGTAACCCATGGGCGTGCTTACATTACATCATTATTCCGTAACACAGGTAGATTCTATTACTTGGGCTGCATAGAATAGTTTCAATACTACATCGTATTTACATAAGGAGATACGATAGCTTGATTGATTGAGACCAAATTAGAAATGAAGTGCTGTATTCCGTGCGCACGTGTTCAATTAACAGCGAACGTCACTCAATCACCATCAAGCGCTTTAATGCACCAGGCATTTCTTATTGCAACGCTTTATGCTTGGCTATTCAACGTCCAAGAAGACGGAAACTCCAGCTGTAAACTGACAGTCTTAATTTTCCCCGTTTCCAAAACAGTGGAAATTTATTACCGTGGAAATTGGCAAATCCTCCAGGACATGCATGCTCAAATTGATAGTGTTTGGGTAAATGCGCCCATTTGTTCCTATACTAATTTTATAGGTAATGGTGGTAGACAATAATTAATTGCATAATTAAGATTATTGCGATATCGGTGCTATGGCATACTTAATAGATATTTCGGATGGGTTATATACAAGTTGTTTCATTCGTAAATGAATAAAGGCAGAACAGAGATAAAGAAATGAACAGTAAACCCCATATTTAATAGTTCTTCTATAGCTTTAATTTTATTTGAAGAGTTATTGGGGAACTTTTCATCTTTTATTGACCCTTAGACTAGAGTTAAAGACCCTACATTTATCAGCAAAACGCCATGTATATTTCCAATTGTTGATTGTACTTTCAGATTAGACGAAAGCCTGATAATAAGCTCCTCCGCAAGCCACGATCACTACGAGGATTCCGGCGATTCGATATCGGCGGGATCGAGGCACCAAAGCACAGAGGATCACTACAACAAATTGCCCAACATTAATCCCTCGTTTATGAGGAACATGGAGCATTCCAAGTTTTCCGCGCTGACGAAAGCCGGCGAGGAGCCGGCGCAAAGGTAAGGGTGAGCTGTGTTTTAAGTGCGGTTGGAAAAACTTTTACGACGCGAACGACCATAACGTTGGCTCGTAAATGAATTGAACTCATGTGGCCCGGAGACGCCGCCCGTTCACATAAATTTCCCTTTCGATTCAATTGGTAACTTTCGCTGAAAGGTCGGTGAGGATAGTTTTGCATTGCAGGTCAGCGGACACGCATATGGTGAAAAGTACTTCCAGCGACGTACCCGTGCCATTAGGAACACCCGTTTCGGCTTCGGACGTCGCAGCGGCTCTGCTGGGTGCTTCTACGACTTCGCTCAGCGGATATCGAAGGCGTAAAATAGAGGAAGATGATTTGAGTACGCCTTATAACCACTACAAATGTTTGAGTCCGAAGCACAGGGTTGGAAAGTTGCTGAGGCGGCAGTTCAGTTTGGATAGAGCCGAAGAAATTCGGGCTGAAGAAAGTTTAATGGTGGGTACAAACAACTTTCAATTTTCTAGAAAACTCTGTAATTTCCAAACTCTAAAATTATCAGAATTTTAAAGAAAACTCTTATATTTTTTTCATATTTACGAATATATTCAGAGAAAGAAAAACTCAGTTCATTACAATTTTTTACTGGTTTCACTTTTTCAAAGTCCCCTTTCAACTCGTCGAAACCCGTAGCCATATTCCTCGCTGTTTGTCTTTGATACAGTTGATATGTTGATTTATTGTTGTTTCAACGTATACGTCTGGTTTCCTGCAAAAACAAAATTCTACCCTTCGCATCTTTCTTTTTTCATTCCAATAAAACATCCGACATAATATACCTATACGCGTATACTGGGTGCGTTTTGTAGCTTTGTATGGAACAAAATTTAGATGAAAATAAATCTTTCAATTATTCTCTTGAGGCGTAAATTTTCTTTATTGCAGTTTTTCGAATTTAAAAATAATAAATAGTTCCTTCCGAGATAGGGTTTACGGTTGAAAATAATATTCTGCAAGCTGTGACACTTTTCAAATGATGCTAGTTTTTCTTATTACGAATTGTACAAGCAAATAGATAAGCCTGCTTCAATGCTTCGTTAATTAAATTTTAAGAGAAATGGCACCTATTCAACTTTTTTGATATGACTATTATAGAAACTTTAGTCTGATTAATAGGATAGGTATAGGCGAATTCGTGTCTGGTGTATATTTATTTAATGTTCCAAACAAACGAATCTCATCAACCAGATCGGCCCAACAATTTAAAACAGTGATTTGCCGTAGTCTCGGCATTGATAAATCCCAATTTTATCGGTCGTTGAATCCGAGCGACTTCCTTTTTATTGAAAACTGATGTAGTGCCATTTTTCCAGATCGCACCGAGATTGTGCAAGCAGAATTCTGCAGGGGCGGCGGATTTGGAGAAAATCGAGGAGATCCCATTAAGGATTCCGACTGTGTCTCCGGGCAGTGTCTCTCCTATTCAACGCACTTTATCTATATCAGCGGATTCATTGATACACTAGCTCCGAAGAATTCTATCACCTCGAACAATAAAACTTTTTCATTGACAATCAATTTAATTTTGTAAATTTCTCTTTCGTTGCGGATTTATTTCGGTTTTACTTTTATGAACAGATGTAATAAATTTCTTATTGGATTGGAAGGCATACGAAGAAATGTAGGTTTTAATTTGAGTGGAAAAATCTTGGAATATAGAAAGTAAATTACATAAACTATATAATAGACTTTATTTTTGGATTCAACCGATTGAGCTCTATTTAAAAAAATAAGGCTAAAACAACGAGTGACTAATCTACATTTTATATAAATTAACATGTTAATTTTGCAGGTACATAAGTCTAGGCATACATTTTTATACTTATTCGCTTTCATAATTTGTATTATCCTGATTTCTTTATAATGTTTTTTATAATATTCATATTCAATTCATTTTTTTATAATAAATTGTAGCTATTAAATGTACCTACCTACTGTTATAACTACTGAAAGTTTTGATGAAAGATTTTTTTATTATCATGTAAGTAACAAGTATACGTAAAGAATGTGTACTTTTCTACAATCTACAATGAAAATATTTATCTACCTAAACCTAGTAACATTCAATTTCCTTTAAATATGTATCTCACTTTAAATAATGCGTTTTCATACTTGCCTTACTTGCGTTTGGATACTTACCTTATCATTTGATGCTTTTTTATTTACTATGATCTTTACTATTTTCAAAATTTGAATAACCTGACTGCATTTAATTTTTACCTATGTATTTCCATAAATGTTCTTACCTACAAGAACATTTACATACAGGGTGTCCAAAAAAATGGAAATGGTCGAGTTTCTGGCAAATTATGGTCCAAATAAAAAAATTTAATAAACACGTATCCAATAATTTTTCAAGGGCTATCCATTGATACCAATATCAAAAAGCTACCCCAACCCGCAAGAGAGGAACGGGGAGGTAGCTTAAAAATTTTAATAGAAATCCCTTATTTTTATTGAAGATTAGGAATTCTTGCAAGTTTTGTCTAAAACAATTTTTCAAATTGTTACAAAAAAATTTCGCTAAAATGTCGAAAATTTAATTATCACAAATGGTCGTAGTAATGGTTCATCATACGGTATAAACAAATCAAGATTGAAGAAAAAAAAAACAATTATATGTTCAATAATTTCTTCAAAAGCTATCTATTGAATCGACGCTAATATTTTGCCATTCACACCATCCCCTGAGGTTGGATCAGTGAGTAGCTTCAATAAATTGAATTTTGAGAAAATTAAATTTTCAAATTTTTAGCATTTTTTTGATAATTTGCAAGGATGGCTAGGATGCCAGGATTCTAAGGGTAGGGGTAGCTATTTGATATTGGTATTAATGCCAATTATTAATGCAAATTAGTATTAAGGACTTTGAAAAATTATTGTATACGTGTTTTTTCAATTTTCCATTCGGTCCTTAATTTGCCAGAAAATCGACAGTTTCCATACTTTTGGACACTCTGTATACTAGTACATACGAAGCTGTTACATATTGTAATATTCATGTATTTCAAACTACTGTAATTTTGAGAAAAGAATTTATGTTTTTTGTATCACTAATTAATAATTCAATAGGAATATCAAAATTTATGTCCGTCATAATTAATTGTCTTTTGAAAAAGCACAAATGTAGTAAACGAAAAATAATTCATAAGCAATTTTAATAATGAATGTGTCCTTTATAAAAGACTAGAATTTTACAACCGTTTATCTATAGTATTTTCTAGATCTAATCTGTAAAAAATCTTTCCCGTAGATTAGTTTATGTGGTAAAAATCTTGCAAAATTGATTTATAAACCCCTGAAAGTAGACAATCCCAAAGTCTGAAAAGCAGACGTAAAAATCAATGTTAACATTCCAGATATTATACATGTTGTTACTATATAGATTTATCGTCGTTTTTTCTAACAAGTTTATTATTTTTATTTAATTTATTGTAAATATACATTTGATTTCTGCAGTAGTTTTGTTGCCTTTAATTCAAACCTACTAATTCCACTGTTTACTGGATATATCTACGACATAAGAATGTTTGTTCAATCTATTTAATACAACATGATTTATAAGTCCTTATACATTTTTTCAATAAAAACAGACGCACCTGTGAATTTTTATAAATTCTCGCCATCTTCTATCTAAAAACTTGACTTGGTAGAGATTTCTATGTACTGCACTGAAATTCATTATTTTAGCTGACACCAGATGCCTCTGCAGACTCCATTCCATAAAGTCCCTAATCAAAATAGTCTGGCAATTTGCCCTTTGCAGAATGCCCGGGTACCGCAAAGCTTGATAGAAATGTTCCATATATATTCCGATTTGTTCCGTCCAGATTTGGTCCAGTTTTGTTCCGTCAATTGTTCATATTTTTTTATTATGACAGATTTCTGAGTGTTTTTTATTTCTTAGAAAAAATATGAAAAACCAATAATGCAGGCTTTAGAAGGAGTTAATAATTATAATAATATCCTCAATTCATCGGATTGTTCTAGCATCTATAGTAATTATGTTAATTTTCAATGCATTATTCCTGTTAATATTCTAACTTTCCTCAACGTGTTGGTAAAGCCTAATAATTCTTCGTATTAAAAGTACTACATACAAATTCAAAAATCTCAATTTCTAGTTTTTATTGTTTTATAATGTGAGCATAGAAGATTCATTTTTCCGTATATACAGCATATTTTTATAACTATCCTATAACTGAACGAATTTATAGAATTGAATCACCCTGATGGCCACAAAAGTATAATTTTATTGCATAAGTTGCTTAACGAAAATAAATTGTTTTAGAAAATATAATTACTATCTATTGCTTTCATATTATGCTGTATACATAGCTACGATTTTGCAGCTATGATTATGCAATATAGCTATGGATTTTATTAGATTGTGGCAATTACATTTTCAATAGGAACCGAACCAATTATTGGTTGAAATAGCAAATAATGCAAAATTGAGGAACCCGGAATAAAAAGCCTGGATATAGCTAGCAAAACCTGCACGAAACTATCACTATTGTAATTATTATAACATCTGAAATCATCTACAGTATTTTGTAAGATATCATGTGCTAATTTTGCTTCTTGTTCGTCTTTTAGCAAATCTGGACGACATAGCAAAATTGTTTCGAAATATTCGAAATTCTTCATGTCAAGATTGAGAGATTTCATATAATTACAACTTTCTCGAAGAAAGTAAAACATTCCGTCAATGTTTGTTGGCCAATATGACGCTTTTAGTATAAACAGAGGACCCCAAAGTTGACCTAAAAATATATAATTATATAACAGGCACTTTAACTATTTGAATTTAGTCTTATTACTCTTGCTAAATTTGTTATTTCTGTCGAAATGTAGCAATGAAACGAAAAACAATATGGCCGGGTTGCTCGTACGCGGATCAAAGTCGGATCAAAGTCGGATCAAAGTCGGATCAAAGTCGGATCAATAGTTAGTACTGGAATAGGGCGGCCATATTTGATCCCGATTTAATCTCGGCTTAATCCGGGATCAAAGTCGATCCGCGTACGAGCAACCGGGACTATAGGTATTTACCCAAAACTGTATTCTGCGATCGCCTATTCAATAATTTAAATCCCGAGTTGTTTCGAGCACTTTTAATAGATGTGAGAAAAATAGTAGCTGCTAATTCATAAAGTGAATTGATGTTGGGATTCAACTTATTGTTAACTGTTTGTACTCCCAGTAACAATTGATCTAATTCATCTTTTGATTTACATTCCTCTATTTGGGATCCAAACATATCGGACAGCTGATGGGAAAAATTGTTCCGTATTTTTGGTTTCCTGGGCCCCCTTTCTTCTTGAACGGCTAAAAAAATTCATATAACTGATGTTGATTTAAAAATACATACATGATCCACTAATAAAATTGATCATCAACAATTTGCAAAGTTCATTTATATTTTCTGTTTGTGTATGAGTGCTTACCCGAAATGTTCATGCGAACTGCAAGACATCGTTGTAATCTGCAATATGGACACCAATTACGCCTAGTTTTATCAATAATACACCTTTTATTCCCAGCTGCGTGTAAAAAAAATAATACTGTTGATCAAAAGAATGATATTGCCATAAATCAAGTCCATCTAAAAAATTCTATATGGTAAAAAGTGACATATACGTTATAGTACAATACCTGCAGCGTAATATAAGTTTGGTGTGGTTTTCTATTTTGGTTTTGATAGTGCATGATAATACAATTATTTAAACCGTGCTGTCATCAAAAATAAATAACTTACATATGCAGGTATAAGTGACATTTTTTCTTATGCTCCTTTTGAAAAAACACGAGCAACCATCGCAACAATAAACTCCATAATGTTTTCCAAAAGACCTATCTCCGCATACTCTACAGGACACTGGAGTAGGAAGTGTTCTTCCTTCAGAATTATAATAAATATTAAAACAAATGTTAATAACTACCAAAAATTTGTTTAAATACCTAATAATACTAAAGCAAAAATAAAATCAACATACCCATTTACAATATCAATATAAAACGTTACAATTAATGGCACAATCACTTGATCGCAGCCTACTGACGAAAACCACGATGGAAACTCCGATTTTATAACATTCTAGGTGATTGTTGATTGACAGGTAGCTCTTTACCGAAGGCCGTGAACAATCTTGCTGGTCACCCTATACACGTGGCCTCTTGACGCCACTTATAACTTCACAATACTCGTCAATTTAATATTTATGGGGTCGAAAACAACAACTATTACGATCGACAGTAATGATTGTTGATCTAAAGGAGTTACATAAAAAATTATAACGGTATGGTAAGAATATATGTATACACAGTGGTCACAATTCGTTAATTTATGATTTCAAATAATCTATAAGTTTATAACTGTACCGACTGCATTTTTTTGACAACTATTTTTAATACTCAATCTCTCTCTACTTTTTTAATACTCAATTAATATTTGATTTACTCTGAGGAAAGTAACTAAAGGACCACCTTTAAGCATTTTTCGAGATTGGGAAACTTTGTGATTGTTTTTACTACTTGTTTTTTAATAGGTACTTGAAATTGATTTTTTTTTTCGGTTTTATGTCGGTGTTATGAACCAAAAGAATTTCGTTTATTGTCAAAAAACTTGCTTCTAAAATGCCGCAATATTTTTTATTTTTTTTTATTTATCGTGCATTCATGCTTCCATGGATGATGTAAATATGAGAGCGCAAGAACTTATATCTACGTGTGCAAATGTATCAAGAGAAATCAATGTATGATGAAACAAGAATAGGATCAATGAATATGAACTATTCCAGACGAATTCACACTCGTTCCTCTTTGAATAATGTATATAAGTAATAAATAAATAATAAATAGTATAATAATGAACATATATAGTTTTTTTCATCATGAGACATCTAACTATATTACTTTACCAAATATATTTTTCCCACTCTGTATTCGTGAGAAATGCAAGCGTATGTAACACCAACTCACGGTCAATAATTCACCTGTAATCACCACAATAACACAGAATGACAGCACTTTTGAGGCACCCTTATGTTTAACTGACATTGCTTTTATTTGATTATTATTATACCAACCACCCTTTCTGTGTTTATGTATTTTTACTTTGGTTTCTGGTACTCATTGTAATGGAATTATAATCATTAATTCGGTGGGTATACATACTATATTAAAAGTATTTGAAATTGTATACGAATGTATAAGTAGTTTTAAAATATTTTATTCAATAAGTATGTTTAATTATACAACTAATAGAGCACAATGACAACGCCATTAAAATATATACACATCAATTTGATATATGCATGTATTTACAGAAAATTATTGTTATAACAATAAAAAAGGTTGTATACGGTATACACAAATATCTTATATTTTATATTGTCAAATCATAATTTAATAGTACGAATAATTTAATAATATCTGAAAGCGACTTACATATTACAAACTACATACATAACATTTCTTCCATATATTAATATTACAGACAGAAATACAAAATAAATATTACCTATTAGTTTAATACTTATACATAAATTTTAATAAAATTAGGAAGATGTCACAGTCTCAAAAAACTAACATTTTAAAATTTACAGTCTGCAAGGAAAACATCTATTTTTATACGAATTTATTACAATTTAACAATTACTCGTATTTATACTTATACATAAGTACTTATTTTTAGTACTTACCCATAGGACGCAATAAAAAGAGGTTTTTACAATATTATTCTTCCCTGTAAAAATTCTCTTTTCCCCGATTTATTAATTCAGGGTTAATAAGTTAAGTGTTTATTACAGAAAACATTGAATTGAAAATACACACACTTAGATCACTCTATAAAAGAATATAAACAGTTCCTTTAATTTTTTTTGGTGTGAAAGTATTGCAACAATACAAAATCTACCTATATCGCGGCATTTTTGAACACTTCCCGATAATTTTTAACCACATCATACATACTGATGGTAATAGTAATACCTACTGTTTAATCAAGCGCGATTTATCTGTATAATATTGCAACAACTCCTCTTTCGCCACAGAACACATCATTAATCAACTGCCGAGTTGACACAGGAACGACACAAAAATCCGAAACGACACTGAGAAATTTGAAATTTGACTAGATCTACGACGATGCCATCAATTTGGCCGCTGCCGTAACGTGATGCTGATGATGATACGCCACTTCGTTGGTTCCGCTACCGCCGGGGAACCCGAATATCTGTTGGTACGAATAGGACGGTTGATTTTGCACGCAACTGTAATCGTAGCCGGGTTCGCTTTTTATTGCACTTGTAGTTGTGGCGGGTAGTAGAGACGTTTGGCCTAAGTAGGGTCTTTCAGCAGATGGTGACTTGTCGGAGTGGCTCTGATGAGGCTGTGTGGCAGTTTGTTGCTGATTTTGATTCGAGTGCTGTTGGATTGTAGGCGTTTTTGGTTCTGAAATACAAAAAATACGAATTAATAATGTTGTTTCGTGCACGTGATAGGTATACTATGGCACGTCCAGAAACTAAGTTCCGTTTGTTAATATAAAAAAATCTTGTACAGATATTGAAAAAAATATTCACAATAATCTTCGATTCTAAGCCACATTTCTTCATATATCCCAAAATTTTCCCGGTATTTTTCAGAGCGTATGGCACACGCAATGTTTTTGAATGCCATCCTCATAGTGCCACTTGCGGTTTTAATTATCTGCGGTAACGCATGATTTTCCACTATCGTTCAGTTAGGTAAAGATTAACGAAAACCGTAATCAATTCATGATGTTTTTATATTGAATTACCACAATTCTCTCGATCATTACTTTATGAAATTGTTATTGAAAAATTGCATATCCAAAACTTGTGCGACGAAAACACATCAGGCGACAAGTTTTCATCATGAGGAGGACATGTATAGGTACAAAAACTGGTACCAAGTACTGAAGAATGCCCCGAGAATTTCGGGACCTATGTAGAAATATATTGCTTAAGAATCGTAGAAGCTCGTTCAATATATTTTTTTTTCTATAACTATGTAGTTATTCAATATTTTTTTACATCTAATAATCTTATTATAAACTTTATCATACGAGTACTATAGAGAGTCACCTGAAATTATTGCGTTTACGCATTAGCGCAATAATGTAAGACCACAAACGCGCATTTTTTGTTCAGTAGCTGGTTTTTATTTTATATTTATCGGGCCTGTATGAAGAAAGCCCCGCGGGCATCTATTTTAAGTGTTTTTTTTAATGTTTCTCGTGTCGTGGTTCCCACAATCGAGATTTGCTCAGATAGGCATCGATGAGATTGATCAAATTTTCTTCTGCAGACTACTCCATTGTAGGTACTAAACAATTTTCATAAAAACAGAAGAAATGCGCCGCGGAAAACAATAACAAACTCTCTCTTATATAGTGTTTAATTTGGAACGACGAACATAATTATACAAATTTTTAATTGGGCGAGCTTTTTATAAAATAGATGAGTTTAATCAGTGTTCGTATAATAAGTATACATTGTGCTTCATTCCAGATCGCAACATATAGGTTATACAGGGTGGCCCAGAACTCACGCCTCACCGCGGGAAATGCCTTATGGAAACGACAATGGAGATGCCAAAACTGCAGCAAAAAACCTAAAAACATTATTTCTTTGGTAAATAAAGAGGTTTAAAATCGACCAATCCCAGTAGGAGTTCACAAATGCGAAAATGACATGAATTTATATAGCTATACACCAATTTGACATTAATGAAAAATTCTATCTCGTTTTCACTTTCACAAAAGCTGCCAAAATTAGCTATATCATTCGATTCGAACCGCTTTTGAAGCAATAAAAAATTGTAGGTTTGGTATCAGCACGACGGAGCCCTGAATGATCGATTTAAAAGCAAATCTTTGATCAATAGTTACAGCTGATTTTGGCAGCTTTTGTTAACCTTGAAACTGAAAACGACATAGAATCTTTCAAGAATGTCACATTGGTGTATAGTTAATTCACGTCATTTTCGCATTTGTGAACTGCTACTTGGATTGGTCAATTTTAAACCTCTTTATTTACCAAAGAAATAACTTTTTCATGTTTTTGGCTGAAGTTTTAGCATCTCCATTGTCGTTTCCATAAGGCATTTTACGATGGGGCGTGAGTTCTGGGCCACCCTGTATAGGCTACAGATGCGATAAAAACTTCCATTAGACACTTATAAAGGAAAAAAGAAAGAAGAGTGACATTTGTGTCATTGCAACTTTTAACTCTGACAGCTGTTATTTTATTAATATTTCTTTGTTCAACTCATGGAAAGGACCATGTTGTGGTCTGAATTGAAGTAATCTGTATGTAGGCATAGCTTTTAAGTTTTAAATGTTCTGTTAAATATGCAGCTTCATATTATAGGTAGCAACCAACATACATCATGCATGTGTGATTATGTGAAACTACCTATACTTGCCGCGTTTGGAAGACGGAGTAATAAACACATTAATCACCCGAAGTCCACCCGGGTTGTAAACGAGTCGCCGATATTACTCACTCCCCATTGGCCGGCCTAAAAGTAGATACTCTGTGAATGGTTTTGAGTAATTGTAGGCGATGTGCAAAATTTCGATCGATCGAATCGATCTTTGTACAGGATTTTGCCGTACTGGGGTAGGGATATTTAGGAACCGCCTGACATTTTTATTACTCCGTCTTCCAAACGCGCCAAGTATACATGTTACTGACGAATAGAAGCATATATTTACATGTAACACATGAAATAAACTGTAATACTCTACGTGTAATACATCACGCATGCAATAATTTATACCATTTTACCATTGGCCGCATATAGTATACCAGCCTATATCCCTAGACACTCATTCTACCGTTCCCAAGCTGACCGCATCACTCGTTTAATAAATTAACCACATTATTTTATCGCGCTACATATAACTTACATTTTTCTTAATGAAAAAGTAAGAAAAAAAAATAAAACTTCTAACGCATCAACAGGAGACCATAAGGCGATGAGCAGTGCGTATCGATTAACGCACAGTAGATAGCATCGCGACCAATAGCATAAGAAATAGGCGTCGACATACCTTCGGCGGAGGCGGTGCTGCTGTCGTCCCTGTCCCCACCAGCCGGCTTCTTGGGCTTCCTCTTGCGCGTTTGGATGCCGTCCTTGCGCATTGCTAAAGGCCTATTCACGCCGTGTAACTTGAAGTACAGTCCGCAGGCGTTGCACACCGGCTCGCCGTCGTTGTTACGCCGCCACAATGTCGTCGTTCTCGTGCCGCAGTTGGTGCAGCATAGGCCGAGCCTTCTTGTCGCCGTCTGTAATTAATGGATTGTTTAGTTGTTTTTTTTCACTCCTAATGTTAGAGATGAATGTAATGATTGTTTGAATGACGCAGAGTATTTTGAAAAGTTTATGGAGGTTATTGATTCGAAGCTTTTACAAAACTGTTTCATTTAAATTTTAGTCATAAAATAAAGGCAAAGAATTATGCTTATTCCGTACATGATATTTAATACTACCATGATGATTTTCGAATTCAATTTCCTTCATTTTCTCGCCGTTATTGGTTGAAGTGGCGAAGACCGTTCGGAACAAGACAAGTCTTTAGCGATCTTCGAACTATCTTTAAAAGTACCATTCGTAAATATGGGTTTTCGATAAAACCGAGACACTTTAAGCATTTGTATCGATTTGGTCCACGAAATTCCGTTCAAACCCAAAATATGAGACAATCTCTTTGTTCATTTTTTTTGTCCATTGCAAAATTCACAGAGCATTATACTGACATGAACTGATTCAATCAGCTGCTACAACCAAACTGATTAAAAAATCTCTTTAATTTTTTGTATGCTAATTAAAAACAGTGTTACCTACATATACAGAAACTTGAAATAGTTAAAAATTTATTAAGTGCCGGTAAAATATAAATCAGAATTTCCGGGTACTTTTTTGTCAGAAGGTATATGTAACACAGGTATGTTTTTGCACTTACCAAGCGTTTAGAAGGTTTTATCAGAGGCCTATTCATTCCGTTCATTTTATGATACAATCCGCAAGCATTGCATAGGTAATGTCCCGTTCCGTCTCTCCTCCAAAGTGGCGTGGAAATTGCTCCGCAATTGACGCACTCGCGACCTTCTCCAAATTGGAAATCCATACCCGCATCTGTAACAATTATTCATATATTCAATTGCCAAATGTTTAAGTACCTGTTGCAAAATATTCTTAGAGAACTTACATTGTGACTGAGTGCATTTTATTATATTTATTACAAGGATATTTATGAATCTTGCACTTGATGTACCATTTTTCTAAAATTGAAAAATGAGTCACTGCCAATTATTTTCGAATCAGGGTATAGAGCTTTTTAATATTGTATCATAAGTGACGTACAGGATTTGTTTGTTTTTAAAATTATTAGATATTAATTTGGTAGTTTTTGATACACTGTATAAAAAAAGTAGTGGTTTGCGATTTAATTTTTTTAGATGGGGTATAGGTGGGGCCTAGGGGATTGGTTGGGGTGAGTTCCGGTTTCAGGCAAAATCCATAAGGTAGACTGGGGCAAATCGGTTGCAAAATTTGAATAGTTCAAATTAAATCCTAAAGTGTGGGTTTATTTTTTCTCTCAATTCACAACTTCCTAAACTAAAGAGTCAAGGTATTAAAAAGTTTTTTTGGAAAAGGAAGAAAACGATTTTAGATATTTTTTAAAATGTTGACAATATGTCAACAAACGGTTCTAAAGAGGCTATTATATAGAAAAACATATGGGGCAATTATAAATACATATTTGGTTCTTCTAAAATTTGATATGCCGTTTTATTTATTTATTTATTTCAAAAAATAACAGAGCTACAAAATAATAAAGAAAAAATAAGAAACAAACTCTGTCTATACTATATGTAGGTATTTGACCCCTCTAAAAATTGATGGAGGGTCTGATATTTTGTTAATTTTTCGTTAATAACCTGTTCATATTACCTATAAAATATAGATAAACTTGTCATATTTCACCTTAAATATTTATTGAATATATGTAGGTATACTTTTAGAGTAAAATCGATTTTCAGTTTTAACTTATATTGATAGCATTTTAAACTGACTATACCTAACTTTGTTTTGTAAGGCATTTTATATGTGAGATATTGATACATTGGGTCCATTCGACAAAATTTTCAGTCCAGAATATGTGGTATAATTTATGAGCCCCTTTACCTTTTTGTGTCATACACCCTGTATAGACTAGAGTCCGAAGAACAAACGTTGTCCTTTTGATAGAAATGTAAAACGTGATTATGAAGATATACTAGAGAAAACTTGATGTGTACCTACAGACTTTTAGAAAATTATATATTGATCTACCAATATACCTCAAAATTACGGGTTCGTTTGTAATTACGTAACTATACGTATTTAATTTTTTAACGAATTATTTGGTAACTTTTTATTATTCACATCGTTGGAAGGTCATCATTGGCTTTAAAAGTATCCACCTTCCCTATACATACAGTAAATAAGTGTATTACAGGATATAATATAGATATGAACTCATCTTACACAATTCTCAACAAAAGACCACCTGCGCAGTACCAATGTATGTAATACGCGTTCGCAAAAATAGCGTAAGTTATTCCGCACTCGCTGTGATAGCCCGTTTTACGAGCCAGCCCTGTAGTCGTAAGTCTTCCGACCGTAGTTTCGAAGCAGGCAGTTGTTATTTAGAGACTGCATTAGAATCGGCCTCGATAAGAAGCATCAGTGTAAATCACAGTTCAAAGCGGCATCTCTAATGATTCACTCCAGATTTCTGGACCAGACACTTAGAAATTATCAATATCCGCGTGATCTCATTAACTTCTCCTTCTGTTGTGCGTTCTGGTTTTTGAAGTGAGGCGGCCTTTCGGTGCGGGATTTATAACGAAAAAAGATGAATTAAAATGGCACCTTAGCGATGTTTTTAATTGTGGATATGCATACAGAGATTAGATAAAATAACGTACCTATACATTTATATGATAATTTATACAATGATTGCGCCCTATAGACGTTATACAGTGTGCCGTGTGTCGCATAAAGGTTGGATTTTGGCTTATAACTTATAACTATAGGTACATCAGACAACCTATACCTGCCAATATCCAAAAGTGCTTAGTAAAGAAGTTACAAGGTTATAATGTTTATAAAAATAAAAAAGAGATTATTGATGATATTGGACCAGAATGGCTTGACTCTTTTTTGTTAAAATTCGTACATCATATCCCTTTATGCTATCATATTTTTTGTAAAAAATTTTTCATAAACTATCAATCCATTTTAGATTTAAATTTAACGGGGGTCCAACGCCTCAAAAGGCCTATATCTTCCGCCCATCATGTTAATTCATCTAACATTAGATTTTGAAACTTGATTTATCGTTTTATTAATTGATAAATATTTTTTCTCTTTATACCTAATTGTCTATAGAACTCATATTTTTGGGGATAAATCTATTTTTTTTGGCATTTAGGTTCCTATAATTATTATATTATAATATAATAATACATTTTCTTTATATCACATTTTTAATAGATTATGTTATTCAATAAAAAATCTGCTTCATTCAATGAATGAATTAAATGAAATCAAATTTGTACATTACATTTCAAGTATTAAATGTCTATGATCGTTTCCTATAAGTATTATAATACTGAATGATACCCAATGATATTTTGATATAGTAATAAGAAGATATGAAGAACAGAAAATCAGTAAAAAAAGGAGTAGGTACCTATAATAGTTTTATATCGCCTTTCCTTTACTATAATGTTTTTATAAAGCTATTTTTATTACCTAACGATTTTTACAATGTAACAAAACGAAAGTGGAAGCTAATCGATTGTAAATAATCAGTTCAAATTTCCTTCCTAACGTGGCTGTTATTTCTCATTCTAACATAATGAAAACGTAGGTAATTTATTTCAGAACTTCTGATTAATCTGTAAATTGCGTGATTAATTTAAATAATCTCTTGTTAAGGTTTTCTACGGTTTTATAGCGAATGAACTGCTTTGCATAATTAATGTATTATGTATTCATGTATTTTACGGAGTGCTTTGCTTTTACTAAAACTGGAATATTTGGTGTAACTAATGTTTTTGGTTTCTGTGTAGAAATGTTCTTTAAAAGTCATGCAAGCATGGGCATCTACATAGCTTTGTTAGGGCACAAGAATATTTGGTGCCGGTTTACTATGCGGTCTACCTATACCAAAGACATTACAACTAAAGTAATGATTTGCCACATAAAAATGTAAACAATTTGGTGTCATAGGCTACACTTACTATGCATGCGAATTCTGACGATTTTTTTTCCTGACGACTATGTCCGAAATCGTCATCAGAACGAAGTGGTTTATACAGTGAACGCGTTTTCTGATATTCTGATAGTCAGTACTTATAACTCTCAGGCTACAGCTACAGTTGCTATGCATGCGAATTCTGACGAAAATTTGTTCTGACGAACAAACGTCCCAATTTATACGTAGTTTTTGTCGTTGTCAGTGTAAACACTCTCATTATGAACTAAATAGAAGTTTGTTTTTTCGGACGATTCGTCAAAACTCATCAGAAGTCGTCAAAACAAATTTTCGTTAGAATTCGCATGCATAGTAACTGTAGCCTCACCCAGCAAGGATGGATGAATTTGACAAATCTTATTTCTTTGAAGTTAAAGAAGTTGTTACCCACATTTACCGAGAAATATCTCGGTTATGGTAATTTCTGTCGCTCATATCCCATAAACACCTCTTCCTGTACACAAGACTTATTAGTATTTCGTTATCCATATTAAAATAATGATATCAATTTTATTTTTAACGGCAGTTGGTACGAAAACACTCTCATTAGAAACTAGCAGTTTGTTTTTTTTTATGAAAATAGCCTGTTGTAATTTCTATGACCTATACACATTTCGTCGCACAAGTACATTTAAATACTTTGACAGGTGTTATATTTTGCAAAACTGCGAATCTGGTTATTCATTTAAAGACTTCCTCAATTCTCGGTAAATTGAATTACCCACATGCGGTTCTATAAATACAATCGTATTAATTTTTTTTCTTTTGCTTAATGAATAGTTAATATTCTTCCTGTTATTTATTATAATTTATGATAATTCGATACATCACCGATATTCTACCAATACATACCTAACAAATATAATATACAGGGTGTTTCTGAAATAAGTGGTCAAACATTGGAAGCAAGTAGAGAACCTCATAATAATACAAAAACTTTAATGTTATTTTATCGAAATATCAAGTTTTTGAAAGAATTCATTCCTATTATAGATTTTTTAAAAAGACAATAGCTTAATAATTTTGTGGATCAGAAATTTAAAAGTCATTTATCGTGAGAACCATTCACTTTACGGAAAATCAACATGTATACCTTTTTTATGTAGAAAACTTTATTTTTCTATATTCTTTAAACAAATCAATAGAAACGGTTAAAATAAAAAAGTTAGGTTAGGATTACCACACGAACCCCCTATTTTAACCCACCTCCTGAAAACTTTTTTAATCCTCTTGAATAGTGGCGTAAGACATTTCACTTGCTTAGCATACCTATGTACCAAATTTTATCATTTTACCTTTGCTATTAATGAAATTATTAATAAAAATACGTCTTCAAGAATCCATTTTTAACACCATGTATACCGATAACCAAGAACATTACGATAAAATGACATTTAAGTTTTTGTCATATTTTGAGGTTATCTACTTGCTCCCAAAAGTTCGACCACTTATTTCAGAAACACCCTGTATAAGGAATTCAGAAGTGGGATCTACCTACATAAAACAAAAAATATACTATACCATATTCCATACCATAAGGTGAAGTCCTCTGGAACCCCGTGCTATCGTACGGCCGCCAGCCTCCCATCATCACATTCTGCGCGTAAAATTGACCGGCCAGCGATCCCGCGTGATGGGGCGACGTGCCCAAACCGTGGGTAGTCGGAGTCGCCATCTCTCCGTATCCGCCGCTCGCGTGCCAACCCCCTTGATGGGCAGCCCCGAAGTGGCTTCCCGCAGGAGAGGCGTACTGGGGCATGGCCCGATTGCTGGGCACATACACCGGGGACTGCTGGAGGTGCTGGTGAAAGCTGCTGTTCGTGTCGCTGTATCCACCTGCGTTCGGGGCAGAATGGAACATCGTGAGGTTTGCAGGAAGGCGAGGACGTTATGCGGTTGTCATCTGCAATTGAATTTTAGGTTGATTAATTGGTAATTTGTTCGATGGTGGTGAAGTACAAGAACCATTTTTTAGTGAATAATTATTATATCTTTACCTATATTTTCATTAGGATTATTTTAGGTACTTTTCGTGTTAAAAAAATTGTACCTAATAATTCTACCTAATACTATAATAGTTGTTTTAGCTTTTCTGAAATGTACATACATATGTACATACTTCCTACCTACTCGGAGTATAAATTAGCTCATTTTGTAGAGCAGCAAACGGTTGCATTTGATGCAAAATTTAAAATAATTAGAATAATTCATCAAAGTTTGTCATCTGCCCGATCTTTTTAAAAGCACTCAGTCTCCGGTTGATTAATTCCGCGGACTCGAAGTGCAGCTTGAACCTCTCACATATGTGTCTGACAATTCGAAGGTTTTTTTCTTAACGACCGGCGATAAGATAAACAGGCGCCTATAGTGGATATCCATTTCGTAATGGGCATAAGTTGTTTTGGAAGAACTAGACCTGGTGTTTTAAGTTTTCAAAGTTCGATAAATTTATTAATTAAGCTGCGGCATGAGGGCAGTTGGAAAGCTAGAAAAAATATTTGGTCCAATCCAAGTAGGTACCTATACTGAGCAGGTATTATAGGTATACATAGGGTCTCCAAGACGAAAAATAATTATTCATTTATGAAAAACTAGAGAAATTTTTTAGGCATGTTGCATTGTTTAATATACCTGATGTTTAGATTATTTTAAAAACATTAACCATTGTTAAAATTCTCGTATTGTGTTCTGCTGTCGTTGACTTTTTACTAATGGTCCATTAGTTCGGGTTTTCTTCGTTTTACACATATGTTGCAGAGCAAATGTCACGGGGGTAGTGAAAAATTACGGTCATCAATTATACGCCCATGTGTCTCTAGAGGTACGAAATATTGTCGAAAAACTATTCGATAGCATTTTATATTTAGAAGCGTACGTACTTTTTATATAGTTTTGCATAATAAATACATATATGTATTAACTTACAAATTTATTAATATAGCTTTTAAACTACAGAAAATTTGTTCTATTATTCAACATAATATATGTACCTACTAGTAAATATAATACCAATATGGTTATTACAATATTTTTGTACAGGTAGTAATGGTTTAAAACAACGATAATTATCATCATCTGCAGAATCCCTGATGCCTGTTAATACTTATGCTTATACTGCAACTGTTACATTTATCTTTATACCTACAAACTTTATATCACAATGAATTTTTAAAATATCCTTCAATGCATGGAATCCTTTTATTAAGTTGGTCTTATTTCGATACCAGATCAGCTGAGCATATTATGTCATCTTTATAATTTTGTTGTTTAAAAGAATAATCTGTATAGGCATAATGTCCGATGCAAAATTTTTGAATTTCCCCGCCTTAACTTTCACATCAAATGAATTACACACAGCCTGCATAATATTCCACTTTCGTAATTTTTTGGCAAGGACCAAGGGGTTTATCGACCATAAAATTGCTTAAATATGTGGGTATTATCAGCACTAACACAGCTACTGATTAGTTATTTATGTATTTTTATCACCAGCATAGAATACACACAATGGTAATATCTGTTATCACGACTTTCATGTCGGTGTGGCTTTATCGGTTGTGATAAGGAAATATAAATTTTGTGTTGTTGATAATGGAGACTACTTAAATTATATTCTTTTTAATTGATAAATTCAAGATTTCAAATAAAATAATGTCTACCTACTACTTTATGTATGCAAAAATTTTTAACAAAAGAATCTGTAGATACAGTATATTTTATTCCTAAATTATTTGGTGTTTATTTTAATTTATGAACAAAATTACTTGGTGTAGAACAGTGTTCATCATAGACTATTGAAAACGTATATCAACGATTCCAATTAATGTATAGACACCTCCTAGATATGCAGGTAAAATACCAATTTATTAGTGTTTATAAATTACAATAAATACCAACTGCATGCTTAGAAGGAGTAAGAATTCGATTGTTAAATTTATGTTCCTGTAATAACCCCGCACGTCCATCGAAGAATTTATTGGAATTGCCGTCATCCTCTTGCGTTGTATTAATTGCCCTTCTAATGGAAACTCGACGTTTCTTTTCCTCCGCATCTTTCCTCTTCTTGTTCGATGTCCACATATGAGCGGTCTCGTTGCAGCAAGGAATCTCTCGGCTGGATATGCAGCGAAGGCGGTCCCTGAAGATTAATAACCCGATAGAGGATGAGCCTTTTCTGACGTCACTGCATCGCCATGGCCGATTAAATGATGTTTTTCGTATAAACATTAAATTTCAAAAAACAATTGCAGACTTGTGTGAGGTAAAATTTATTCGTTCTCAAATATTACAGGTATATAAACTGAATTTGTTCTTCTGTTGGTTTAATTTTCATTTTTCCAATATTCCTATTATAATAGAGTTTTGACCGGTTGGCAAATCTTTGCCACGAAGGATATCTTTTCCTTAAAACCCTTTCTAAAGCCGAAGGTTTATATATCATTTTAGTCCATTTGACAATATTGGAAGTGTATTTATAGCATTCAGTTTAAGACAACCGTGATAGCATAATTCAAAGTTCCGGCTGTGGTTTTAGTGGCTGTCGTCAATAGTGTGTCGGGTAATGTGACCTGATGCATTCCGAACATTGCAGTTAAACTACAAATAACATTCACCCTCACCAGTACGAATTCGTGTCTGATGCTTGATGGCATTCTTGGTTTCGTTTGAAACGTCAACAAAACGAGGTGCAGACCCGGAAATCTGTGTGATTTGTCAATTAGTCAGTACTATTTCTAATAACATACGTTTAGGCTAGAAGTATACGTGAGTTATTGTCGACAAAGAAAACGTCAACTGTATTCTAATTGCTATAAACTTTAGGTTAATTTAGAATAGTTTTTGCCTGTGTTATTATAAGTAGGTATACTAAGAGTGCAATTATGGTTCTCCATAACGTAGGAGTAAACTATTATTTATTTATATCTTACATGTCGAAAGTATACCAATAAGGTACCATTTTGTTTTATGATTTCGATATGATTCGATAGTTGTTGGCACATTTAGGTATATCTGTTTAGTATAGGAATGTTTTGCAGATTGTAGATATATAGGTCTATATCTTGTTTAGTAATTGTATGGAATTACCTTTGTAAGGAAATCGTTTCTTATTTTGGCGACATACTTTTGTAACGATATTCCCTGTAATTTGATAAAAAAAATTATGTGACTAAATGCGTAGGTCGCGTCGCGTTGATAAGATAATTTTTAAGCTATCGAATTCTAAATGCATATTCCTAGTGACACTAATTATGGGCCGATAAGTTATCACATTTCCTCAATGTTCGAATTTATATATAGGGTAAATTACGCATGCTATAGGATGAAAAAAATATTAGATTAAGACAAAATGCTTTGTAAGTTACATAGTATTTTTACCGAAATGAAAAAACAAAAAAAAAGAACATTTCCAAATTACTTTAGCAAATTCAGTAATTATTTGAACTAGAAAGTTATTTATCTAAATTTAATTATTATTGTTGTTAATTATTAACTTATCAACGTAACAATGTTTTCAGTTTAAATAGAGAGATAGTTAGGTAATTATTTAAATTATCAATTGCTTTTAATTTTTTCAGTTTATATTTTTCATGTATTTTTAAGTTTTTATGGTACTGTGAATAGACCTTCCGATATTGTACGTCAATAGGTCCTTAATAAAAAAGGATTTATTATAGGAATTTTAATTATTTATATTCGAAACTTTTATATTATTTCATTTTTTATACACATAAAACATTATCCTCCAAATATGTATGTTAATATAGTATAAGTTAGGTATATCAACGAATTTAGTTAGAAGTTAGAACATTTATTTATATTGGAGAAGTCTCATTAATTTTTTTCCTGAATGAAATTTTTTATTTACTCTTTGTTTAGATAGTATACCTATACAAGTAGTATACCTACTCTAATAAATTACGTATACAACATTTCATATTCTACGTTATCTTATAGATTGTTTAATTAATTAATTTTCTATTACTTCCAGTTTTAACCTACATTACGTACATGTCTAATTTAAATGCTGCTAAGCATTAATTAAGATTACAATAAATTATTTATATCTACCAGCTATTTATACAGCCTATCTTTACAAAACGTTTCGCTACCGTAGGAGTTTCCCTATAACTCCAGTAATTAATATTTTTTACTTTTATATTAACATCTATAAATATTCAAACGCAATGTTACGTACGTACCTAGATATAGGTATACCTATATTTTAATGAAGTGACGAATCACGCAAAATGGTTGCAAATTATCTATTTTTTATGTATATACACAGAAAGAAATAATTGACCTAATATTAATGACCGCTGGTGATTGAATGTAAAATCATTATCAAAATGTATTTTTCATGATTACAATGTATAACCGACATAGTAAACATAAAATTTTGTGATTGGTTAATTCATTTTTTCGTTATTATAATGATCACGTACCCATTGCAATAATGTAAAGGTGTCATTAATTCAATGTAATTATTTATGCATATTATGAAATTTACCTTAATACAATAAATTTTACATTAAAACGATGATAAGATACATCAAGTCAATGGTAACTAAGTATTTAATATTATGTATGGTTAATAATCATATTTCATTGAACTGATGTTATAAGTAATAGACTAATACTCAAAAGAAATTATATCGATGCAAAAATGTATAGCTTAATACAACTTATTATTAATATTAATGTCTAAAACATTAGTTACCGCTTCCAGTTATAAAAATCAATACACATTTTATTAGGATAAGGTACTGAAACATTACTTAATGTATCAGGTCGTTCCGCCAATGTCCAAGTATTGTTAACAATGCCTTAAAACATTAATATTAGGATCACTTCGATAGAAGATCGAGTTTCTCTCCAATTTGGATCTAGTCTCAAAGCTCTAAG